CTACAGCAACTCTAGGATCATGTGGCGCTGTCCAAGGTGCTGATTCCTGCGAGTGGAATTGAAAAGCTGCTAGTGTGTCTTTCTCTTCCCAGTATACAACAGAAGGAAGATCTGCTTTTAAATTAACACAACTGCTAAGTCTGGTTGTAGTTTTGTTAACTGACACAGTTTGTGTTTTCTATTGAATTTTGGTTTGAGGTTCAACTTGTGCATCTATTGTAGAGGCATACTGTACTCTTTAATAGAAAGGATTATGTATTGCTTTCTTGTGCTAATGTAAAAAAGAACCCACTGCCAACTTAAGGTACTGAAAATAGGAAATAGGCAAAAATCGTTGATAAAAAGTTGTCTTGATTTAAATTTCTTTTTGCACACAGCTCTTAAATTATTATACGTCTCGGTCCACAGAAATGCTTCCATGGCAACCAATCCTCATCTGCCTTTTGTGGGTCATTTGATCATTGAACTGAACATTTCAATTTACAATCAAGTTACGGTTGAACAGACATCCTGATTATTAGGTATCATTCACATTAAATCAACATTTCCATTGGCGGTCAAGCTTGTACAAAGTAAATGGGTCTTAAGAATATACAGTAAATGTTGACTTTTGACTTCATTCTGCTCTACCGCTTTACATGTTGCAGCGCTGATCTGATGCTAAGGGACATGACAGATTTTGTCTTAGTGTCAACGTCTTTTACAGGGATTGGTTTGTGTGATCTGGTTGTCTTTGGTGCTGGTTTCCTCCTTCCAGAAATAGTAACCACTGTCACTGTTGTTGTCCAGGAGGTTTCACCAATCAGAATCAAGCAATAAACTCGGATGAGTGATGAGTTTGAAAGCAACATTAGACTGTGATGTAGCAGAATGGAGAAGAGGCTATGCAAATTGTGAAATATTTCAGTCTGATCTACTATGGTGTAGTCGAAGAAATAAATGTGGCACACTGAGTTTTTTGGATGTACACCCAGAGTCTCTTTTCTGGCTGTGGTAGTGATTCATCTCACTCAGTCAGAACATTTTGGGAACTTTTCAGGAGTTTGGTGCTTGTACTGAGTACAGCTTTGATTCTTAAAACTGCATTTTAGGACATTTTTAAGACCAATCCTAATATTGATGTCAGTTTAAAACCAATAATTTACCTGAAACTAATTAATTTTCAAAACTAGTTTGTCACAATACTTAATACGGCCTTTTGGAGAGAATCTTAGGGTGAGGCTGATACCAATCCTTGTATGAGCACAGGTGTAGAAATCGATACTGATGTTGATAATGGGAAAACTTGAACTGTTTTACACTCTTATTTTGACATTAAGATGCTTATTTGCCTAAAATAAACTAAAATAAGCTCTTTTTTTTACACAAAGACACTGATAGAGTTGCTTTTTATTCAAAGTTTGACATTTTGCTTGATTAACTGATTAATCAAATAAATCTTTGTTTACTGACATCGCCACTGGACATTAAACTCAATCAAGGCACCCTCATCTTAATCCATCATTATTAAAGCTGCTCCAAAATGAGACACAGTGAAGAGAGGAACAGATGTAGAAAATTAGAGACAGCGCAGAAAGAAGTCAGAAGAGAGAGAATTGAGAAATCCTGCTGAGGAAGAAACCCACACATTAGCCGCTGGAATATTGCTTACACCGGGAATGGAGTTGGTAGGGAATCGATAGCAACTCTACAAGGATATATGAAAGTGTTGAGGCTGATTGATGATAACAAATTATCTGAATAATCAATATGCCCATAGCTGCTGTTCATGAATTAATCACAAACAGAGTCAGAGTCAAGGTAACAACCATGGTTACTGTTACTATACCATGCCTGTAGCAAAATGCGTGCAGCTGCAGAGGCTGCAGGAGGCAATAAGCATTCATAAACAGTGCATCTCATGGTGCAAAGTCGGAAGAACAAATGTGTTCAATAACTTATGACACGAGAAGCCTCACTCACTCAGTCAGTCACATGTACAGAATACACACTCGTGCTCACAAAGCACATCATAAATATGCATCTGTGGCTCTGCTGGCTGAGACGAGTCCGGGAAACATATTAAATGTCACTCTCTATATTTCCATCTCACTTTTATTGGCACTGCATGGTCGGCGTGCGCAACAGGAAGCGAGAGAGATCATCAGTTTATGAAGAAATGGCGGAATATGCTCCTGATGTGCGGCACTTTCCTCCTGAGTGCATGAGAGGCGACAAAAGGATGACAAATGTCATGTGGAGCGGATGGAGGCGAGTGATCCAGTGGAGCCGCACAGATAGGTGGTGGGACAGGGTTGGGAGGGGAAAAAAAAGTGATGGTACTTGCTCTTTCATCCACCCTTTTACTCTGGTCGCCACGGCAACATGCCTGGAGGGCACCTAAGAGAGGCGTCATCTCTGACAAAAACAACAGAGAAGCAGGGAGTGAGTGAGAGCAAAGGAGAGCAAACTAGACAGACTGTGTGTATGAATGAGAGACCCGAGTCGGCTGCAGAGCTACAACCACCGCTGCTGCTTCTCCTTCTTCTGCTCTCAAAGACGCGTGGCTCTGACCTTCAAGGACTCCACTAAGAAGCGTAATGAATGTTCATCCATCACTGGAGGTCATTCATATTAATGTTTGGATCACTCCACTAAAGTTTCAGCAACAGCATCTACGAGCAAGTTTATGAGTGTGAATATCACTGATATCCCCTCCAAAAAAAGGACACTATTATGAGATATGAAATTGGAAGAGTTAATCAAACCGCGGCTAATGCTTAATATTTGGAATTAACTGAGCCATTAATACTGCACGCTGCTGTTAGGCTAGATAGAGTGGTTAAACCACCACCGGCAAAATTAAACAGGTTAATTAAAGTCTTAAAATTTTTACACTCCCCCACTGTCTGTATTTTACCGTTAAAGACATACACACACACTCACATAATTACCCCGACATTTGTGTTATTACTGCACTTTGGATGGCCATTCTCTGACTCTATTAAATTTTTAATCTGAATCCTAATTCTAAACTTAACCCTCAACCCCGGTCCAAAGGTGAGACTAAAACAGGCTCATTTTTTTCACAATTACTCTTCTCAAACACCTGCAGGATCTCTCTCTGAACAGAGGCAAAAAACAACAGAAGACACACAAACATACATGCATGTTTGGTACACTGTAGTATCTGGCATTTAGACTAAGACAAGTGTGGTGCCAAGGGTGGGCTTGGGAGGCTTTAACCCTCAGTGTTTGGAGCAAAACCTTAAATCTTTCACTGATTATCACACAAGGCGTTTTACAGAGCCAAAAACCACTGATGCACAGAAAACAATATCCAGTCTGTGTGCACTAAGCAGCCCTGGATATTACACACAATTGGCCAAAATACCAACAGAGAGCTTGGTCAACAGGCTGTGATGATTTGGGTTGCCATGTCATCTGCTGGTGTTGGTCTACTGTGTTTTATCAAGTCCAAAGTCAACACAGTCTTACAGAATATTTTTGGGCACTTCATGCTTCCATCTGCTATAAAGCTTTATGGCGATACAGATTTCCTTCTCCAGTAGGAGCTGGAACCTGCCCACAGCACCAAAATTACCAGAAACTGTTTTGCTGACCATGTTTTACCCTTATTACTGTGATTGATTGGCCAGCCAACTCTCTAAAGGCCGATGATTGCCTCCATGCCACATCATTCTGATGCAGTAATTGGTGGAAAAGGAGCTTCAACCAAGTACTGAGTGCATAAATGGACAAGACTTTCCGCGAGGTCAACATTTCTATATTATTAATCCTGTTTTTAGAACAAAAAAAGTCTTGAAATATTTCACTTTGTGTGTGATGAATCTAGAACACATCTAACCCCCAATTGTCACCACATCCGGAACACCTACGAAAAGGCTGTATCAACCAATCGGAGCTGATCGTAACCATTCAAGTCAATTTCCACTGTCTTTTTTTCCGTTTTGCTGTGGATCCCCAGACTCTGCAGAGTTCTATTTTTTCAGGGCGCCTGAGCATGCCGGATAAATTCAGCACAGATTAACCCGTGCTGGAAAGGAAGTCGGGCACAGACACAAAATAATATTTTCCTGATTTTATAAGTCTAGAAGTAGATTTCTTCCTCTGGAAACACAATCTACTGTTCATATGGTTAGCCTCTTTGGCTATCTTTATAGAGACAACTTTCTATCACGCAAATGCATGTGAATCCGTGGGTTCTTGTGAGTTGTCGCCATCACTGCTGTCCGTAATCCGCTACAAAATTGGCCTCACAAACAGATGGCAAATAGCGGATGGTGAAAATCGCTGCTGCTCTGGATCAGTGCCGTTCCGGATGTGGTAGTTTCACTTTTTGAATAAAATTATGGGAAAAATGAACTTTTTTGGTAACTGTACCTGAAAAAGGTAGTAGAACTGGAGTGAATATTGGAGTAAAAAAAAAATTAACTTAGGACAAATGTGACACACAAGGCCAGAGTTCTCGACCAATAGCACCACTTGTGTGTCGACCTCTTGTGGTCATAATGCAAACCCCTTTACATTGAATTATTTGTGCCTCAATCACAATGGTTTGTCCTTTAAATTCATCATAATTTGTGTATTAAACAGCTTCCTTTTCCAAGAATTTCTTCAAAAATTTTTAAACTGTGTGCCAGTAGCTTAATCAACTTTATAATAATGATTCAATGTGTTGTAATGAGTCATTTCACAGCTGCTAGGGATGTGTTGAGCCTTTCGGTGTGCTACAAGCATGATCAAAAGTAAGCATGAGTCAATTATCAGATGAAAACTTCACATTGAGTCGAATTGTAATGAAGTTTTTCAGCTGACTATCCTGTACGTGCCATTTTCAACATCTGAATCTTAAACTTTAACCCTAATCTCAAAAAGACACTAATATTTGGAATGTAATTAGAAGGCAAATATTTTCTCGATATAGCCACTTAAATAGCCTACACACACCCCAACTCAAACAGACACACACCCACACGCGTTGCATGTTTTGAGGGGGCGGGGCAGCGGAGGAGACGGACTCGTGGGCGCATCTCCTCCATCAGAGGGCGGGCTTGTAGCGTTGTGCGCCAGCGCAGCGTGTGGCCGCCGCTGCTGCTGCTGCTTGATGAAGATGATGAGAGGAGCGGCAGGTACACAAACCATTTCAACTGAGACCCAGCGGCTTTAAAAGCTGCGAGAAGACCGACAAACACCGACCCCCTCTGCTCAGCTAGTCAGTGAATGTGGAGCCTTTCTTTGCCTTATCGTCCTGTCCTTTGTTTCCTCCTCTTTAATGAAAACCAAACAAATGAAGGAGTGACTTCAAAGTGCGCAGCGGGGGTGCGGGAAAGAAGTAGCCGACAGAGCTGAGGGTGTCCAAATGGGTCTCGTCGCGATGGGATTTGAGTTGAAGAACACGTAACCCGATTAAAGTCATTTCATTAATCCGGTTGTTAAGGTAACAAGGAAGTTAAAAAGGCGTTTTTTCACCGCTGGGATGTTGTGAACGACACGCCGCCTGGGACTGAAGGAAGTACGGAAAAGAGGGGACCGTGGTCTGGTGGACACACACCGGAGGGATTATGGCTTTCGCAACGTTTTCCCTCAGCCTCATCACGCTCGTGCTTACAAACTTGCACCTGTCGCGAGCCAGCGACCGGCATGCGGTGTACTGGAACAGCTCAAACCTCCAGTAAGTGTCTTCTTTCAGCAGTTACACTCGTTTTTTCCCTTTTTTGCTGCAGTGTAACTTGTTTTTGTGTTTGTTTTTTGCGCACCTGTGTTGGTAACTTGCTTCAAAAGACAGTGGTCATCCTCTGCAACGACGCGTTTCTTTTGTTCACAGCACTAAGCCTTTGAAGCGCCACTGAAACACACGAAAAAGCCTCGAACAAGCCAATTATTTCCCCAGTTTTCAGCTTAAAACAACAGAGGGACATCTGTGAAAACAGTCTCATTAAAACTTTTTCGTCTCCTATATTAATGCTAAAATGCTTTTTCTTCCTCAGTCTTTATTCAGGCAGAGGAGCAGTAATGCACCTCCACTGGGAGACTGTTTCCACAGTGTTTCCCCCCCTTTCCACCCTGCATGCAAAGTGCTTACTGTATAAATATTTGATTTCTATCCCACATTTAGTCCATCTGCTGCTTCAATATAATGACTCATTTAAGCAGTCATCTTTTCATTTACCCTGCTTTCAGCTTTTCTGGTGTCCATCATCCTTTTCTGCCCACATACAGCATAGAGACATCACATCCACAGCTCAAACTTGCCTTAATCTGCTAGGGCATGAGCAGTCAGTAGAAATGAAGTATGCTTGCCACACACTCACACACATATTAATGTATCCACACACACACACACACACATATCTGAGTCTACCCTCGGAGCCTTTCTACAACAGGAAGGTTGCTTATAGCTCAGGTAAGCTTCCCCAGGCTCTCCCCTCTCTACCCCTCTCAACCTGTGAGCTATAAAGCTGGCTTGCTGTGGGGCAGAGATCGATGTGGATTCTCCCGCCTTTGTCTTCTCATTAGCCAACAGTGAATCCATCTTTCTCACATTCTTTTTATCTCCTCTCCTCACACAACCTCCCCTCTCTGCTACCCCCCCATCTGTGATCTTCCTTCCCTGTCCATTTGTATTCACCTCAGACGCGGGTTCCTCTCCTATCGCCTCTCTATCTCATACTTGGTTATTTTCTTCCCCGCTCTTATTTTTTCTGCCACCAGCCGGCCTGTCCCCCTCAATTCCCTGTTTTCTGCATCTCATTACCGCCCCCCCATCTGCTTCTGGTCCCTCACTCACCTCCAAGGCTCTCTCAGTACACATACAGTGGATGATAAGAATTATAAATTGTATGGAAGTTGTTTCATTGTACGTGGGTGTCAAATATTTGAAGGTTTCCTCCAGGCGAACAGCAAGAAAACTAGTTTTAAACAGGATGGAAACAGTCAAGGTGCTTCTGCAGCACTGTGTCACTTTCCCATTAATGTTAATGTGTGAATGGCAGAGTCACATTCATAACTATTATAAATTTATGACTGCAGTTAATCCCATCAGTCTGACATAAAGAGGAAAGGGTGTGTTCACTGAGAGTAAGTTACGTTAAAAGCTCTATAAAATGCAGGTTTTTATGTTTTGTTATGAATAATAGTCCTGCATATCAGTTTTAATTAGTGTTTTACTGTGCTACCACTAAAATGATTTCACAGCACACTAAGGTAGTCTCTTGTTAGCACATTTTGTAGTTTTAAACAGGCATCTGTGAGTTAAAATGACAAATATGTGCTTATTTTAATGAATTCAGAAGACTGCAAGGAAACGAGGAAGGAGGAAGAGAGGGAGAGAGAGAGGGACAGAGTGCAGGTGTGAGTCTTCATGCCTGCGTGTGCGAAAAACCCTCTCCCTTCTCTTCAGCGAGATACAAATCTCTAAAATAATGCAAGAATTGACCCAGTTTGCAGGTAGCAGACAAATCCTCAGAGGCTATGGTAAGAATACTGATGGCCATCAAGCTTTAAAAAAAGGCCTCAGGCTTGGGGCCACTTCTTCCACCACTCTATCTGCATGCACAGAGAACCTGCAGAAGGCCTCATTTGTTCAATAATGTGGCCCCTTCCCTCATCAGCTCTTCCAGCTCTTGCTCTGGAGACGCAGCGCTCAGGAGAAAAAGGAGACTGCCATAAACGCGGGGCCTTTAGGGGCAGAAATTCTTGGTCGAAGTCTCAATGTTTTACCCTTGAGCGCAGCATTCAGCGCAGATGGTTATGGCACAGCTGCAAGAAATGGGATCACTCGGAACCAAGCTGTTTGTCCCACAGCCATGAAAATTTATGATAAGGCTCAGTCAGAAACATCTTACTCTGGTGAATTGGAAGGCAAAAGGCCACTGTCACACAGACGGTTTCCAGTAATACTGAGCTGTTTGATTCTTTCTTTGCAGGTTGTCTGAGGTAAACAACATCAGGCGATTTATTATAGCTTCTTCCTCTGCCACGGACAATTTGAACTGAGATGTCTTGATTATCATAACCCAAAGAAATGGCTCAGAGTGCTTTGATTACCGCCCAAGTCCGTCACGATCGCACTACCCCCCCATTAGAAAGTGTTGCTCTCAGCTTCCGCTCTCAGCAGCGCGCCTGGCCAACTCGTTACAGATGTCCCCGCTAATGGCTGACTGAGGCAAGAAAAAACACACACGCAGGCCATTAAATCATCTCGCATCTGAGGCCATCTGCCAATTAGAGGGGGGAGATGTGGAACATCTTGAGAGCACCCGGGAGCAGCGGTGCACTGCGGTAGCCTTCCCTACCCACAAGCGGCATCCTGTACTCCTGCTACCTCCTCCCATCAGGTGTTTGGCCTTCGCAGTTCCACGGGCCACGTCTTTTGAATTGGGCACCCCATGTCCGCATGATCAAAACAACAGCGTCGCTTCCATCTACTCCCTCACTCCTACCCCAAGAGACACCGCATCTCTTCTAATGCTAATAACTAAGCGGGACACCAAAGCAAGAAGTCTTTGCACAGGCGTAGGAAGAATTAGCAGGGAATTGGTTTTGAAAATGTGCCACAAATCTCTTTGCAAAATTGCCATTCCCTCGCCTGCTCAGCAGGATGAAAGTCTACCTTTGCAGTCTGTGGTTGAGTTACAGCTCTGTATGTTTCAAGCTACACATTACAACCCTGATTTGGACCTAAAGCAGTATCTGTCAGGCGCCTAGACCACATAGAGGAAAAAAAAAACATTCCAATCCCCGGCACAGTCCGCAGTGCAACATTAATTATCACCTTGACAAATAGCTTTCCTGTGACTTTGAGGTACAGAGGCCCGGTGGTCAGTGTTGAGGTGAGGCGCGGTCTTACTCAACAGGCTCATTAACCACCAGGGTGGTCCGAGGGGGTGAGTGCAGAGTAAGATAGCGTTGGAGGACAGGGCAGTGGTGATCCATGACATCCCATCAGGGGAAAGATATTTAGGTGCAGTAAATGGAATCTTAACTGGGAAATAAAGAAAGGGGAGGGTGGATAAAGTGATGGATGAGGGGAAATCAGGAAATAGATGGTGGTAAAGAGGATACAAAGAGTGAAGAGAAGAAGTGGGCGCATTGGAAGAATAACAGGCCAGAATGATTGCGGTGGAGTCGTGTTTCGGAAGAGGGAAGAGAAGGACAGATTGATTGAGTTGGCCATAAGTCAGAACAGGTGAAAGAGTGCGCGGGTTCTGCCGGATATGGAAGTGAGGTTATTTGGCTGAGGGTGTTGTAGCTGCTGCTTTCTGAAGAGATGATACCCACGGGTGTTGATCCATGCTAATATGGACAGCAGCTTGGTCATTCATGTGGACCGATGCTCAGAGACAATAGCAGCCGCCATTCACCTGCGCAACACGGTGCATAGAGGAGACAAGTGGATTCGATACCTGATTACATGCACGTCCGTCTGCCTGCAGCTCTGTCTCTGGGCTGCCTCGCCAATTTTGCATACAAATGCATTTTATTCACTGGCTTTCAATTTATCCTTTCATATTCATTGTTCCATAAAAAAGCCTCAAGCACCGTTCGAGAGCATATAGTTTTTTCCTAGTCGGAGTTGTGTTAAATGTAGTTAACACAAAAAAAACAGAATGACCTTTTATTTTGTTATTATGCACATCTAAAGAGGTATTTCTTTTTTAACCAATCAAGTTGCTTGGGAACATTTGAGTGCTTTATAGTGTTTCTTATCCTCTCTCAGACATCCAGGAGATTACTTTGATGAACGGCGCTTTTGAATGAACAGCTGACTTGACAACACCTGGCTTCATTATGCTGGTGGATGTGCAGTGGTGTCTCAAGGCGTACTGGCTTGCTAAGTGGTGTGCTGGCCAATTTTAGATCAGTGGAATTTGCTATGAGTCACATAAATGGACAGAGAACCAGCTGAAAGGATGTTTAATGCTTCATATGGATCCCAGAGTGGGTGTGTGGATCAATACATTTATATGGTATGGGAAGGTGAATGGACCCTGGCCGAACAAAAACACAACAAGGTTGCTTTCTGAGCAGCAATCAATCTGGGGTGCATCAGGTGATCAATGTTCAAATGCATTTTTAATTGGATTTCACAGTGTCAGTAAATCGCCATGAAGTATTTGGGGCTCAGCTCGGGAAGCTCAGATCAAGTGTTGCCTTGGAACAGCGTGCTGGAGAATTGATTATTACAGGCTTGTCAGTCACTGCTCCAGGGTTCATGCTCCACAGAGGCCTTAACTACAAGGCTTTGGTGAAGCAGCAGCAGCGCCTGGTTCAGAGCCGACAAAGGTGGAAAAAGCAAGAGGAATATAAAGGAAAAATGCATATGAGAAGGGCTGTGAGGCCAAAAACAAACCATAACTTATTCCTCCACAGGCGAAAATAATTCATCGGGGCATTGATTATCAAGTTTGCCCGCTTAAAATATTTAAAGGTTGCATGAAAATCAGTATGCATTATATACATTTTTCATCCGCTGAGTATTTCAAATGAGCTGGAGTATGCAGAAAGCGGTCCATCAATAATTCTGATTCGGTATCAGGACTCTGCCTCTGTTTTTATGAGCCATGTGCTCACCAATTGCAGATAAACGTTGAGTTAATACTACTACTTATTACCTTGTTTTCTTACTTATCACCCAGCTGTGTTAAATATTTGATTGCGATTGGTCAAAAGCAACACAACGGACAACTTGATCACACATCTATGGAGTGCTATTTTTAGCAGTATAAATATTCATATTTTAATGATGAGAATAAAATCATCTTTAAATTAATACCTTGTTTCGACTTGTTTATACATTTAGTTGGTAGCAGGGTGATAATTATGATGATGTATATAGTATGCAGGTTAGATCCCCTCAGGGTGGACTAGAGTGGAGAGGTCTGGTCTCACTCTGTTGGGATTTTATTTTGAAAAATCTCCCTCACTTATTATAATCCCTTATAAAGAGTACAGCCTTTAAGCTAGGTGTCATGCGATAACTTTCGTTCATGTAAAACAGGACAGTGTGTGATTGGTTTCAGTTATGGACTATTAACGCTGAGTTTAAAAAAAAGAGTATTTATTGCTCATCACAGGAACATAAAAAAAAACAGAGAAAATAGAAAATAGAGCAAAATTGTCTGAATTTGCATTCTTGGCTGCAGCTCCAGGTAAACAGTAATTTGACGTTACAGAGGAGTGAACACCAGTGAAATTAAAAGGTGGGAGTGGATATTAGTTAAAGCTCAGGCAGAGACACTTAATCAACCTGAAGGACATAAAAAGGAAAAACAGTTTTTTCAAAATAAAGTCTACCTTTTTTCTTCTTTACTTTTTCCTCTATGGTCCCCTTGGAGGACTTAGGCCCCCAAAGCCCGCTCAGCTTCATTATTAAAAGGAATTGGCTGGTTTGGTGGGCCATTATAGTCTTTTCATGGGTCCTGATGAGAAAGCACTCTGGGACTCGTCCAGAGCTTCTCCAGGTGAGGGGGTTTCAAAAAAAAAAAAAAAGGAGAAACATAGTTTGGGACCTCATACAGCATCAAAGCCATTAGCATGCCTTGCGCTCCAAGGTTATAAAAACTGCACTTAACTGGCAGTGGGAACCCACAGGAGATAGTCCTGATCCCAGACAGGTAGAACCAATTTCAGACTCAATGATTTGAATGCAAATGCTTTCTACAAAGAGGGCTTCCCTACGTCCGAATGGCAGCTCCACAGTACATTACACTGGGAGTCTGTACCGCAGTGCCCGTTACCCACTGGGAAATTACACTGCTGCTATGATGGAAATGGCTGCCATGTAGGAAAAAGATCAAAGCGGTTGATAGTTGGATGGTCACTGGCTGGAGTTTGATTATTTGGGAAATGGGCCTTGTTACGCTACATTGCCTGGAAAACGATATGGCATCCGCAGCAGTTGGTCAAAATAATTTGTTTTGTTATTGAAGCAGAAGGCCTCATCTGAGGTATGGCAATTGAGGCAGTATTTCTCACCGACCAGCGCCCTCAGAGTTATCAGTGTCCCTTCATAAAAAGGCAGCGAGTGAGGACACAGGTTTGTGCTCTGTCATATCTTGTTCTCTGTTCATTCCCTTCAGGTCTTGAGCCGTGACAGGTCTTCCCTCTAATGCTCTCGGGTGCTTAACAACAGCGGTTTTTCGGGAAGTGGAAAGTGTCCTCACAGCTTAGTGGATGATACGGCTTCAGTTTTCCTTTCATGTGAGGGCAATTTCAAATATGGGCAACGTAATAATTAGGTATTCTGTTATAATTGAGATTTTTCCTTTTTGAAGATGTAATTATACCAAGGTCTGAGACCCTTTGGCAGCAGTCATCTCTGTAATGAGAATATTTGAAGAAAATTGAAATCTCTCTCTAGTGCTCTGTGCATCCAGAATGACAAAAAGTAATTTGACCCTTCAGCCGCAGAAGCAGCAGCCACCACCTTCAGTGGCTGAATGTATCCCCTTTATACTGTTAGAGGGAACATTTAAATCAGTGCATCTTCAAGCGAAACTTCTCTATTACAAATATGATAGCAGGGTCTTTAGAGCTTGAAGGTGTGATGTAAGTGGATTGGATGGGGAGCTACCTTCTGGCAAAAGAATTAAAGTAAAATTTCTTGTGAGGGGGCTGGAGGGACGTGTGGCGCAAAAATTTCCTTTGCAGACATTTAGGTACTCTGCCTGGCGAGGTAGACACACAGAGTCACTGGAGAGAGCCTGTAGCTGTTGTTAACTTTACAATATGACCTGTGCACACAAGCCATTACACAGTGTTTGAGCTAAAATTGTCTGTGAGGAGGTCAAACGGCCCCTTAGTACTTTTCCAGGGTGTCAAGTCTGCAATCGAGAGGGACAACTAACAGTACAGTGAGTGCTGGAAAATAGAGGTTGAGGGAGAAGGCACTGGTATATGACTTTCAACATATTATGGCTTGGATGTCTCAAAAAGTAATACAATAGATACATGTGGTTGATAAAAGTAGGTTATGTTTTTTGACAGTTTTCTTTTTTTGATCCTAAGCTAAGTTAGCGTTGGCATATTTAGAGACTGAAAGTAGTAGAAGAAACAGGTAAAATAGGAGCTATTCAGCTCTCAGACACTGTTGTCTTTAGGGGCATGATGAAAGTTAGTGTCATAATTAGCTTTTCGTACGAGCATATCAATGGGCTAACGCAGGCGCTTGTTCCGCGATCGTCCTCTCTATTTCTCAGAGCCTGGCCTGCATAGCGGGGCTTAGGGGGCGGAGCTTGGATTTGTGATGTATGAAATCTTACTGTTTCTGAACCTGCGGTTTGGGTCTGCTAGAGATGCACAGCGTTTTGAATGCAGAAATACTCAGAAATGCAATTACAAACTTCTTTTTCTCATGATAGGTTCTCTAGTATCAGAAAAATACCATATGAACATGTAGACAACAAGAAGAACATGATTTTCATCGGAGTGGGTCTTTAAAGTGTTGATGATAGAGGACTTCTCTTCCAGATGACATGTCCTCTGACTAGACTGCCTCCCTTCTGTGAACCACTTATTTGCATGGTGTTACTGGATGCTTACTTCTAGCACAATATTGATATTAATTTTTCTGATTTTAAGTTTTGATGTGACTTACCTTGACTTTTAGTGAGGGATTATGACTGTTGTCTACTATACTAGAGTTAGCTGTTGGTTGGTGCCTTGCTGTTTGTAAGCAAAAAGCTGAAAAAGGACGTGGTTCGACAGTAAATGGCAGTTCACTGATAGAAAGATTGATCACTCTATTAGTCTTGGTGAACAGCAAAATCACCCAACGCTGTGCTGTAAATATATATTGCACTGCGCTTTCAACACTATGTGCTTTCTTAGGTTACAGTTACCAGGTCTGTTTTGCTGTTCGAGCAACTTTCAGAGTAAATGTGAAATCTTGTGAAATCCATAAAAAAAAGAAACCGTCTGCTTTGATTCAGCTTTCATGTTTCCTTTGATTTCATTGGGAACAATAAGGAGCCGTAAAGTTTTAGTGCTGCAACATTTTGTGTTTTTACAGGAGGCACAGCTGCAACGGCTCACCCCTTGCCTCAAACACTGAATATTCAGTACAAATTCAGCAGATCAGAGCACAGCTCAGTCAGTGGCATCTTGCACTTTTTCCTTCCGTGTTTCTTTATCTTCAAACTCATCATTTAATCAGGTCTCGTGTAGGTCTGCATCAAAAATCTGTTTGGAATTCATTTGCTGCCTTGATGTGTAAATTCAGTTATGGTTAATACATGAGCCACGCATAATCATGTCTCAACACTCACACACGTGCACTTTTTTTTTTTTTTTCCTGGTGTTCTCACTCATTGATTACACGGACAATACGTGACTCATCTCGCACTACTGGCATGCTCCATCAATGAGTGCGGGGGTTCCTCGCCCCTCCTCTTCCTTTGCCTCCTCTCTATGGATCAGTGTGTGTTATTGGTAAGTGCTCCACTGTGCGGTCTGTTATTTGCATTTCTAACAGCTGGGGTGGTGAGGTCCTGCTTGTTATCACGAAATTTTTTACACTTGACTATTAATGGCTAGATTATGGTGGAACAGTAAAGCCGCGCCAGTAATCTACCTGTTCAAATGATCCCATCGTTTAATGCCTGCAAAATCTCTTCTTGGCTCCTGCTGTGCTTTGTTTGTTAAGGTATTTATTTAGTTTGTTCAGCTGCCTTTTTTTTGCTTGTTTTCGGCTATGTACAGCAGGCATCTGTGTGTGTGGTTTTCATGACCGTAGTAGTGTGAAAGCCACATTTCTTACATGCACTTTGTTCTGTTTGTGTGAGAAAATAGTGTTTTTCCTGTAACCTGTGTAATACTGCGTGGGACTGCTCCTAAACCAGCGTAGTGTGCAAAACTGGGAGGCACACATCCCAGATCCCCACCATGCTGTGTGTGGGTGTATAGAATATCAATGTCCCTGCTGGGCTCTTGCTCTAATTGTATGTGTGGCTCATATCAGGTTGCATTAAGGTGTTTTCATGTCTGACCGTTCGTCTGGGTTACTTGTACATGTGTGTTTGCATACATGCTTGTTTGATGGTTGAAAGTCGAGTAATGATTGTGTCTCGGCCTTCTCTCTCTCACTCACGCCTGTGTTTCCTCTCATTTGCCTCACAGAGCAGCATCCCTCGCCGTCTTCTTGCGGTGTCGTTTGAAGTGGATTTTTTTCCTGCTCAGCCCTTCTGTTCCTGCTTCGTTCTCACCTTGTGTGGAGTCAATGGGAAGTCCCAAAAGAGCGCTTCGCTCAACCGCATTGCTGTGCGTGGGAGGAGAGTGGGCACTACCGCCCTTTCCCCTCCCTTTAATTTATTGCTCTATTGCTACTGAGCGACTGAATCAAATATATTGTGTCATTATTTAGGAATTCTTCCACCTGCTACACATGCACTTGTTTTCCTTGTACCGATTTCCTTTTTTCTGCAGTCTGCATGTTCGTGTGCGTGTATGATGTATGTACAGGTAGAGATAGATGGTTATGATAAATAGATTTGCTTTTGCAGCACTTAAAGGGATTCTGTGCCACTTCCCAGGAGAAACAGGAACAGAAAGTGGAAGTGAAAGTTACGACAAAAAATAACTAAAAGGGGGAGAAAGAAAGTCAGTCAGGTTGGGGGGAGGGGAGAGTAAAAAGGAGATAAGAGGGGGAGATACAAGGCGGTGCAGAGATGTAGAGTGAAAGTAGGGATATAGGGGATAAGGAGGGGGATGTTCATATGTAGCAGCGAGAAAGAGTCTGTATGGCGAATATTAATGGCTTGTCAAGAAGTGGAGTATCTTTTAAAGACCTCAACCTTTCCTGTAGTGCTCATGCGTACTGTGTGCAAAACCTGCAGCATGGATGCACCGCTGCAAACACACACAAGACAACTGCACCAGTGGCAGTTGTTTGTATTGGAAACGTGTGATGCTTTGACAGTGAAATCTGAACACTTGAAGCATCACATTTGTTGATTTATTTGTCACTGTTTCATTTTTTTGGTTTTTGAGCGTTTGTTTGGCCTCAGAAATTATGTTTATCAGAGGTGAGTCGTTTGTTTTTCTGTTTTTATCGGGATCAGCTTGCCTGGATTTCTGTCGCAGAACACCTGCTCCACATGCTAAATCAGATACAGCATCTATCTCTATCTATCTGTCTATCTGTCTGTCTGTCTGTCTCTATCTATCTGTCTATCTAGGCTGCACAATATTGGAAAAAACTAACATTGCAATTTTTTTCAACCCTGCTATATATATTGTGCTTTTAACAATTACAGGAATTTTCTTTAGATTTCTTTAAAATAGCACTTTACGCTTTGTTGCACTGCTGAAGTCTTGTGGACAATTAACCTGCACTGATCTTACCTCTTTTTGTGAGTGTTAGTAGAATGGCTTCTGTCTGTCTCAGAGATATTTCTAGTTTGCTTTTATTGTGCTGGAATGTTATTGTGGCAACAGATGAACACAGAACATGTGTTTTGGTCGATATCATCCTTCTTGTAACCGAAATAATAACAGATAACTGACGTTGCTTTTCTTTATTGGCAACAAGTCTTCATTTACAGTGGTTTTCTCTTGTTCATCGCTCATTTTGCGATCGTTGTTGTTGTTACCGGTGTTGTGCTGAGAAACACATGCCCGCCGGGATTTGCATGCACCTCGTTTAACACACACACAGCTTATAGTAGAGTGGTCGATGGAAATTTATAATTTTAAACCCATACAATTCTTATTTGTTTGGATAAACAGTGACGGGTATGTAGTTCTGAAAGAAATTCTCTGTGATTATGCGTTTCGCGGCACAACATGAGCAGCGCCAGCGACTCACTCCATGTGCAGGCCATGTGCAGGGGCGTGATTTCCTCCTCTCTTATTTTGATTAACGGCTTGCAGGGTAGTCTGCTTGGCAACTGAATAAAGAACGAATGTGATTGGTGGATCGCTGCACAGCAAATGCAGAGTCATGTAGTGTATCTCAGTCAGCTACCCTTGAAATTAGATGAGTTTTTCCGCCTCCTACATTGCAGGCTCTGCAAAGTAACTATCGCGCACACGTACATCGCGATGACGACGCTCAAAAAATATATCGTGCAGCCCATCTTTTTATCTATTTATCTATCTATCGATTGATCTATTGATCTATCTATCTGTCTTGGGGGGGTCTTATCAGGGGAAATTTGTCTTACTATTGACATTCATACTTCTGTAAAGTTCTCCATCCTTCACACATGACTCTAACCCAGGCTAATACTCTTCGTGCAAAGGTTAAAGATCTGAGTGTTGCAGGATTGAAGACTCTGAACTCAGTATGCAGGAATAACAGAGCAAAACCAGAACTAGGTATAACCGTTAGAGAGGTTAATTGACTGCTTTGGGATATTTTTACAGTTCTAGGGTGCCATGACCCGGTACACTCGGTTCTTGAACGTTACGATCCATACTCAGTTCAGACTGGTTAATCTTTACACACTCGCACATCTCTCTTTCTCCCCCATATCTCTTCCTCTCCACCCTCTCACTTTATGCATCATCTCTATGCATCATCTTTGTGTACTCATATGCACTAGACGATGTTTGAGTTGCAGCTGTGTCAGGACTCAGAACCCTCCCAGCACCTGTCAGTGGCGGAGCTCCGGTAAGAGGGAAGCAGAGATAGAGCTGCAGGTGTGTGATTGCAATAGGAATTGTGGGGAAAGGGGGGGAGAGAGAGAGAAAACGAGAGAGTGAAGTGACACTCATTTGCCACATGATGCAATGAAAAAACACGCTGTCTTTGGTGGAAGCCTGTGTCACAGGTGACAGTCAGTGACAGGACCAAGAGCAGAGCTGTCAGAGAGGCGAGAACCACAGAGAGGGAGAGGCAGGGGAAATGAATATGCTATTCCTCATCTAGCAAATGACAGAGAGATGCGAAGGGAGTATAAGCATTACAGTATGGTGGCAGGAAGAACAACAGCTGAGCACGGTGTTAAGAGCTAAATGATGTAGTGTAGAGAATAACATATACAGCCTGAGGTCGTTGTTTATGATGAGAAAAGCAAGTGTGACACACGGCGACTGCAGAAGATGGATTTCTCATGTGGAAATTGGTCTAATACCAGGAGGTTTATTCCCTGGGAACTCTGACTGCTGTTGAAAACAATGTAGGTCGTGATTGAAAAAAAGACAGAGACTGTAGATAATCAAATTCACATCTCTCGTGGTTATTTTTTCATTTGATCTGGAGTAATGTAAATTGGAGCATCAAGCTCTCCAGCTCTGGTTTCTGTCAACATAAATCCTTTCCCGCTGAGACAAAGTTTACTCGTGGCATTGTCACAGCTTCCTTATATCTCTAATAACTTCTGCCTTGGCATTTGCTATTCATAAAGCAGGTTGTAATCCCTAATTAGCAGGCTTTAATTTCCCTAACGGGGATGAACTTTTGGTCATATTAGAGCTTCCATTAAGTTTTGATTCTAACCTCCAGCGCCGGCTGTATAGGGGTAAATTAGTGCCAAGGAAACCATATCTCTGGCTAATGTGCAGTGCCAGGGAGATAACAGCAGTTTCAAAAATGCCAGGGACATTAGCATTCCTGCGTCGTGCTGTGTGTGTGCGAGGTCTCAGTTTTTAAATCTGTAAAAAAAAATTGCTGTTTGTCAGCAAAAACTCTGCCTCCCCTGCTTCCCCTCCCCCTCGGCCCCCAATTCATTAGACAGTTCATCAGCAATCTATCATCATATGTTTTATTTATGAGCACAAACACGTTCATTCTGAACAAACGACAGAGGTTTCTCTGGTTATTTAGGTTTCAGGTATGTTTTCACACTTGTGTTTGTCCCATTGTTCATATATATACATATATTATATATATATATATGGAGAGAGAGCGAGAGTGGAATAAAGTGCTCCAAGCTTCAGGAAATGATGCTTTTTAATGAGGACTCACTCCCTCCTAGTGTTCCCACTTCTGCCCCAACCAAAAGCCAAGGTTTACTACTCTGCCAGCTCCCGCTCAGTGCCTTGTATGCAAATAACCATTTTTCAATCAACCTTGCGGTTCATTCTGAGATGTTCGATACAGCCCTGGCCTTCTGCAGGGTAATTTACCCAGAATTCTTTTGACCTCTGAGGGCATCTGGTGGAATGACATCTTTAATCACTAGCCTCCGCTCAGTGTTCGCTGCCCACCAAGAGGTAGAGGAGGTCACTAAAAGTAAACCAACAGTGAGTTCATATTTAGAAACGTACGGATCGTTGTTCTGGCACCTGTTGAGTCATATTTACACCAATGAATGCTGGGTAATAAAGCGCCAGAGCTTGGCACTTTGGTAATTTTGCAGTATAATAAAACAAGCCGGGTTCTATTTTGGAAAACCAAATTCAGGACAGGTTTTTGTGTTGTTTTCAGATTTGAACCCTCAAAACCAATTATAATGATCAACAGCAATTATTCTTTGTTAGATAAACAGACAAAGTTAATGGATTTAAGGTCCAGCGGTAAAAACAAATCCCACCAAAACTCTATTACTAAGTCAAATTGAAGGTTGTGATTGTGTGAGCCCCCAGTGTTGGAGAGGTTTTGCCCACAAACAATGATCATTGGTACTGATGTTTGTGACATCAAATACTGAATGTTTGGATAAATTCACACCCGAACAATGTTGTTTTTCTGAAAATAACAACCTAACTACAACCGTTTTGTATGTGATACTGACTGTTGTATGACTGGGATCATCAATAGGGTCATCTGTGTTTATTTACATCCAGGTAGTAGAGGATTTAGACCTAAAATGATAAAAATTCTGATATTTTGTTTGATAAATAGATAATCCTGATTCCCACATGCAAGAGGATGATGTTTAGTGACTAAACACGAACATCCCTGAAGTGAACACTTTATTTTAATAAATCTGACTTCTTTTTCATTGCTTCCCTTTCACTTTCGCCCTAATGTGAAAAAGTGATGCTGCAAGGATTTCTCACTTTAATGCAGACCACCAGGGTTAAAGTCTTGTTCCTAATCTATTTTGCCCTGTACTTGTCCTCAGGCCTAATTTGGGGGAACAGTTTAACATCAGTATTCTCATCTGGGGATCAGGTTGAAATGATTTTGCAAGCTGCTGAAAAGTAGACATTTCACCCTTTTACAAGACTTTAACTCAAGGTGCCTTTGAGTGATGCAGTAAACTTTTTTAATCACTAGTAAGGCTGTTTAATAGCCGGTGGTACGGGACTGATTTTATTATGTGTGTGCGTGTAACCCTTCCCCTTCATGAGCGTGGACCTGGGCTGTAAAACTAAGAATGGTTTGTGTAAAGAAATACTAAAAGAGTAAAGATACAAGGGGAACAGTTTAAGTGTTTCAGCAGGTTGTATCTTGATGACGGGTTTGAAGCTGTCTGGAGGATAACACCTTAATACACTCGACAAACTCGCCCACTTCTCACCAAGGTCCTGCAACTTTAGTATCTGTCTCTATGTAGTGAGATGTTTAACCTTTACCACAAAATCCACATCACTATACCTTATGCTTTTTTCCCCATAAGCTGTGCGATTTCTGCTAAGATACACTGTAAATCCTCTTGAAGATTCTTTACATCCACTGTGCGCGTATTAGGACTCATGCACACACTCACACACACACACTGCGGGGTTGACTCTCCTTAATCGAGGAATCATTTCAAAATTGTATTGACTGGTGAGAAATTATGCAAATGTACTTTTACACCTTTTTTTTCTCCAAATACTCGTAGAGTAATCACGACAAATTGATTAAAGTTTTGATTAGGGAAGAGTTTTTGAACGTTGTAGAGTTATCAGCGATGTGCTTTTATAGAAAGGCTAATCAACCAAAAAAGCCTTTGTACGACCTGAATAACATAATGTCTGACTAATCAGGGAAAAAAGGGCGACACACACACACACACACACACACATACGCATGCACACACACAAAAGAAAAGCCGCTAACTCTGATTCTTCTCTGTAAAGCTCTGCAGGTGTGGTCCGCTCCTCCTGCGCTGGCTATTAGCACAGCCGATCATTGGTATTCATTTCCCGCTCCTAATTCCTCCACAGTATTTTTTTTCCCTCTCACTTGACAGAGGACCGTGGGTTAAACGCCGGGGGGAGTGCTCCATCACGACTAGATCTGATCCAATTAAATACAGATTTAATCAGCCCCGCAGTCGGCGAGTGAATACACAATCTGATCAGGCCGCTGGTAACCGGAGGCCCCGACGGCGATGGGCGCTGGTTCCCATCCCTCGGCTTGAGGATCAGTTTAGCAAGTGAGGAAAGAGACACCTCCGTCCTATCTGACCTGCTGACAGGTTTGATTTCCAGCTTTACTAATCCAACAGCATTCTGAGGCTGTTCCCCTACTTCTCTGCCCACTTTGCACAAACACCTTTGCGTAAAATGACCCCTAAACACACTGATTTAGTGTTGTTGAGTCTGCAAGACGACAGCGGCTCCTGAGGAAGATCTGCAAGATTTACTGTTGATGCAAACACTCCATTAATTACAGATTTAGAGACTGGATTATATCTATGGCAGGCAGAAACGATCTGGAGGAGGTTAATCTTTCTGTCTACAAGCAGATCGGGTAGAAAGGAGAGAGAAAACGACCGCAGGAAAAAAAAAAGGGAAGATTTTCCCCTCCCTCCTCCCAAATGGCTGCAGCTGCTGATTGTTGAAACCTTTTACTCTGCAGAGGAAGCAGGTCTGTGATATGAAGTACAGCTCCCCAGTGCCCCATCAAAGTCCACTGTAACTGCTGTGTCACCTTCAGAGTTTCCGAGGGAGGATCGTACATGGGGAGCTGTTGCAGAGCCTACTAATGAGAAGTCATTGGGAAATAGGTTGCTTTTTAGCATAGCCTCGATGCGCAGGGTCATTTAAGTCACGACCCCAGACTTAATTACACGTCCTGCTGTTTAGTGTACTGTTGTGTTTGTGTGGCTGCCAGTTTGTGACTAGCTTCTGTGAAAACTTTAATGTAAAACTGTAATTTAGTAATGGCTGCTTCTGTTAGCCATACTCCACATAATGCAAACACAACACACCATCTTGTTTAGTCCACTATTTAGAGTCTGAACCAAATCCAACATGGCAAGCAGAGTGCTTTGGCTGACTAAGTGTACAAGCTGGAAGTTTGTACCTCCTCCAGCATGGCAGCTATGTAGGTTAACACAGATGAGTTTGATCACATTATGTCTGTGCAATATTTACAGAAATAAAGTATGTGCTATCAGATGGACTCCTCAAAGTCTTTAGAGGCATGTCCAAACATGTTCTACTGGGTTAGTCTAACAGAGGCACTGACTCCTGCTGGGCTAACTTTGACTTTGAACATCGGAAGAGCATTCATTCGCCTTTTCTGTTTCTACTTATCATGATTACCCATAACATTTAAATTGAAACTATACTGTTGGGAAATTTTTCATATATCAAGAAATAGTGATGGGCACGGCAATTCTTTTCTATGTACTGAATCACTAGAATCAGTTCACTAAAAAGATTCATTCAAAAGATTCGTTCACCAAATCATTTAGCCAGAGAAGCCTGTGACTCCGACCTCCTAAACTGATACACAGCTGAACGTTTCAGGATACTGTCCCATGGTATGTTATTTACCAGGTCTAAAGGTTGTTGCGTTGGCAATTTAGCAGTCAAAAAAAAGGTTGTTTTGTCACACAAAAATGATTCCAGAGAGTGTAGTTCAATGCGTGATTCGTTCACAAAGTGATTCAGGCGTCTGTGCATGTGGTTTCTTGTTCGCCGGCTGCTGGCCTGGCAATGCTGTTTCTCACATCAGCTCAACTGAAGTGAGAAACGAACGAATCACTCGAGGAAGTGATTCAGTTCAGTACGTTCACGTAAAAGATTTGGTTCTTTTGAACGAATCGTTCGCGAATGACAAACACTATCAAGAAACGGACTAAAATTTAGGGTTTATAAATGTGTGTGTATGTCCTGAAAGGCAAACAAGATGGTCAGGAATATGGAGTATTTGTTTGCTACATGAGCTGCATGTTATCCAGTCCAAACAAAGCTAATAATGTTATAAGCTTATAGCTTATTTTCCCAGAGAAAATAGCACTTGTATTTTACAAAAAGACATATAACTTTGTGTAAAAGGTTGCAAAAAAACGGTTAGTTGTCAAGTTGAAGTTTTTTAGTTAGAAAAATTATACAATAGATTAGCTACATTTACTGTAAAACCTGTGATATAGGTTAAACAAGTATAAAAGATGCAGATAGAAAAGGTTCGAACTGTCTTCCACAATGTGCAATTCCTGTGCAACTGTGAGGGTCTTTTTCGTTATCATTCTAGCTACAGGAAGAGGCCGCCCAAGGTATGAACTACAAAGTGCTTGGCCTCTCCTCCCAACTGCTTGTCACCTGTTGTCTTAAAGTAAGTCGCCTTTTCAGTCAAACAAAGTTGATGATGAAAAAGTTTGGCTGGTAGAATCATCTTTGTCAGTATTTTTTAGCAAGATTTGCTTCTTGAACACCAGTTGTAGGTTTATGCCATGTGCATTTAATACTGATATCTTGATTGCAACACCAGCCTCTATGATGCAATCCACTATTTAGACAACAAATAGGGACTAATCATTGAGTAAATCTTCCTTGCTTAATTTAAGTTAAACCCTCAGAAGTCATGATAAAGTAACAAGAAATCAAACAAAGCTTGTCGCATCCTGTCGAAATTGTTTTTTTGGGTCGCTGAAAAGTCCCGTCCATGGCCGCGTTGATAGCCTGTCAAATAAAAAAAATCATCTTTTTTTGCATCTGAGGTGACCAAGTCAGATTTATGAGGGGCCCATGTCCCCCTGTGCCATCCCCCGGACATGCCCCTGCATATCCAGGGGGTGACATTAATATTCAAAGCCATTCTTGCAACCTTTCTTATAAAACCACTCAGGAAAGATGCCTTGATTTTTTTCTCATTATTCAAAGAAGCTAATCTAAGTCTATTGTAAGGAAAAAGCAGCGACTGATCCAGACTCTATTTTTAGGAAATGTTACAGTGTTTAGCAAAACAAAGGTCTAAAATGTGTAATTTGCTAATTTCACTGGGAAATGATTCCAATTGTCACTGAGAGCATTTCCGCCACATTTACCCCCTGGGATGTCTATCTCTCTTTCTTCTCTCGCCGCTGATCAGTATTCTTTAATTGCCTTTCTTGTTTGGAGGAAGACTTACCTCACTTGTTATTTCCAGGTGTAAATGAGATGAAGAGAGAAAGGTTACCGAGAGCCCCGCAAGATCGAGCAGTCCTTCGGGGTGGTCTCGGCTCACCCCTGCCGCAGTCAGATATCTCAAACATAGCTGTGTTTGAAGTGCTCGGTTGGGTGCATCCGCTTTTTCTGCGCGCTGGCTAGAGCTGTGGTGCTTGTTTAACTCTGGCAGCTCCACTGTAAGTTTCTGCTTTTGTATTTGCATACCGAACAAACAGGAAATTGTGTTCATTTGTATGCAAATGTGTTTGTCCCCAAGGCTGGGATTTTGAATTAAAAGTTTTACCGTCCCATTAATTCCAAATTACACACAGGCACTGACATGGGCTCCTCCATCCGGCAGGGGGGTATCCGGCATGCCATCCAAACGCGTCTCTGTCAGTTTAGGCTGTTTAGTTTGCCATCTGCGAAACAGAGTCAGAATTTGGATTTAATCTGGTCCAATGATTCGCAGATTGATCGTCTGCACTATGTCGCAATCTCCTCTTAATTGTCTCAGGAAAATATGCAGAGATTTCGGTGTGATTGATATTCGAGGATACTACAAGAGACAGACTTGAGAAGGCCTTGGAGCGCTTGACTGACAGGTTGCGAGGAACGTGGCGAATGAGAGGGAGTGGCGAAGGCCGTCCAGCGTGCTGATGTAGCACAGCTCATCAGCCCCGCTCATTAATATACGTGCACAGCCTCATGAAAAATGCATGACCCCAACAGCGACGTGTGACATGTATGGCTTGATGCTGACAGTCAAGGTGATATGAAAAATTAACAGCTATGTTCTCGCCACTTTGCATGAAGGGCCTTGTCTTTGTCAAAATGTTGCAGATGAAGCACCAACATTGTATAACGTCAGCTGTTTGAAGTGTTGATCATCGCGATTGATCACACTTTTTAGATCAAAGTGTCTTTTTAGATGTGCTCATCAAAAAAAATCAGGGTTTAAAAAAAAAAGTTCCTCAGGTTTCTTCACACTTGGAAATGACTCATGGGGATTCGAAGCAGCTCATGGTGCTCAATAATGAAACAGAAGTCTACGTCGAGAAAAAGCGAATTGAATGGATGGATGATTGGATTAATGTTCTGATCTAAATAATGCTCTCTCAAGCCTTCTTGATTGCACCAATTCCAGTTTTGATAGAAAAAATGCCAACAATGTGTCATCGTTCGAGCAATTTATCAGGTTTTCATTGTTTCAGCATGGACATATGGAAATACAAAAACAGAGTGATAAAGGCCCATTATTAGCGGGGCTTTTGTTACAGTATAAAGTGAGCGCCTGCTGTCACTGTGGCAGTGCGCTTTTGTTCTTGCGTTCTTCAGTTTTACAGCTGTGTTTATTAATCACTCATAATGACTTGTCCACAAATAGTTCAAGTCTTGTACTTTTTCCCAGCTTGGAGTCGTTCGTCAGTTGCGCTTGTACCAAACACGCGGAAAAATATTTGCATGACAAGTTTAAAAAAAATACAAATCAAACCTGATTTTTCGCAGAGGCGCTGCAGCTGCTGGATGAACATCAACGTCCATGAATGTGTAAAAAAGATGAAATTTTGCTCACAGAGGAAAGTGACACAGACACACACACACACACACACAGACACACAGTGCTAGAATTAATAATGCATGGAGCACATCTTGTACACATGCAGACTGTTGGCAGGCATCTGATGTGTCTGTGTGATGAGCCAAGGGGGACACATCATTTCTGACTCTCCACTCGCAGACTGATGGTGGCTGAGTGCTCAGTTGCCAGGTTTCGCTAATGAAAGGGGGAATTTGGCTTTGTGTCTCTTCAAAGACTTTATAAATGGGTTGTGTTCTTTGGAGGTGGCACAGCATCTAACCTGGAGAGAGCTGATGCCTGACAGGCTGAGGAAGTGACTTTGACAACGAGACAGACTTACAATCAGCGGTGGCAGCTCAAAGGGGAATAGACCTGTTTGCTTAAAAAAAAAAACATTATATCTGAGAGTGTTAGCTTTAAAATACTCAGATATATTCTCAAATCCATTCCTCTAGTTATTTTGTCTCATGGGATTTTAGAGTATAGACAACATAATTACAATATGACTGCACAATATTATTGTACCCTTTCATTTCCAAGTAATGTCTAACATTGACAAACTGACACGCATTATGCTGCTCCCAGATAAAAAGAAAGACGGTGTTTAAATGAAGAAGTAAACAGCATAACAGACTTCCCAGCTCTCATATATATCAGCTTGTATTGATTTCGTATGCATAACTGATAAGACCCATTATTTTTTCAGCACTTTGTCTGAATAATAAAATCATTCCCGGGACATCTGCTAAAAGAAATGATTCCAGCAAACTTTAATACACTCAGTCATTATTACTTGTTGCTTTAAAAAAGGATGTGAAATGTATCAAAAGCAGGTGGAAATAGGATTATTTTCGCACCTGAACAAATTTTTTATAGCTTCTTTTTTTTTTCATTTGCAGAACAGGCAATCCTGCTCCATGCACAGCTCCCATCACTCAGATGGGGAAAACAAAATCCCTCACTGCTGTTTGTTGTCATGTCAGACAACCTCCTGGATGATGTATGTGTGAAAGGAGACACGTCAAATCTAAATATAAACCACATGGAGATGCTGCTCCTTAAAAACACAGGACAAAACTGAGGGTCCTGAACATTTTTGAATATAATGTGATAGATTTTAAGTTGTTAGATAATTGAGGTACAAATGGAGGTCTGGATTAGACTGGCTGTAAATCCATAGGAGGGAAGGATGGGATTTTTTTCTGTCTGATATGGATTTAAATACCTCGAATTAAGATTAGCTGAAGCAGGGTACCCCTCAGATAACAGTTTATCAAAAATATGACGCATCAGACAGATAAACATCGATATAGTTGTTTATATTTTTCATTACCAGATTTTTTTTTGTCATTTTTACATGATATTTAAGTGGAAACCTTGTGGATTTTTGGTAGGCTTATTGATGGTCCAATTAACTGGTAGCTGATACTGATACTGATAATTGTACCAATACTAATATGGGTACCGATACCCTGATCACTGTTAGTCCTGACATGATGTTAACACTGATATCAATACCAATACTGATATCAGACTGATATAACAGACTGATTGATGGCAGTTCAATGCATTGGAGTCATATCAGTATCGGCCCTCATACGGCCAATATTACCATTATCAGCATATCAAATCAAAAGTGCAGAATATTAATAATATTATACCCTCTTTATTATTTTCTTGCTTTCTAATTTTTCCGTTCGGCAATATTTTACCAAACCAAGTATTTTTCCTTCTACATTTGTTTTAAAAAATGTTCCCTTGAGTTTAACAACTTTGTTTTTTAATTTGTTAACATTACTACATTTTTTAAAAATGCATTACGATATTGGTGTTATCGGCCGACTTTCCATTGAAAAACATATATCAGTCGACCTGCTACTTTTGATATCAGCAACTCCGACTGAAAAACCAAAAATGACTTTGTCTTTGAGAATAATTCCCTCTTTTGTCCTTGATTTTAGCGGCGGCACATTTAAGCGAGCGCATGCATAGAATAAGAGGTAGCTTTAATCCATCACAAGGCAGCGCAAGTGACAGCTGATAAATGTAAGTCAGAGGACAAACTCAACTCTGTCACTCAGTCCATTGGTATCTATTGAATCTGTTGACTGCTTGTTTGCCTCTTTGCCGTTTCAGTTCTCCTTACGATTGTTCTGCCCTTCAGTGAACTGTCACAGAGCACAATATTGTCTGCAGGGTACATTTCTTGAAATGGAAAAGGTTTTCGTAATTGCTGCCAATCATTACAAGCCATTTGTTGTGCATGTGTGTAGAAAAGCAGGGGACACAGACTGAAGGAAACCTGTTTGGAATTGTTCGGTAGAGGAAGACTTAAGGTTAGAGGAGGCAGCAGGAAATTGTGGCACAAGAACGCACCAGCGCCATTATCACAGCCCCCCCAACGAGGACATCCTGTCTACCTGTTATTAGTGCAGGATTGGCGAGATTGAATTAGACTGACACATCTTTAAAAAGCCCCTAGAATCTAGCTGCCAAAGTCTTTCTGCCATTTTGCCCAAGGAGTCAGCGAGGGTCAGCAGGAGCGCGTGAGTGGGCAACAAGCGGCAGTCAGAGCCACTCAGAGACACCCTGGAGGGGGGAGAGGAGAGAGCAGACCACAGCTTGGCAGCTCCACTGGAGTCTGATAAGCTTTAATGGCACCACCACAATGATTCACACCATGTGAGACACACACACACACACGCACAGAGGCGCACACACACACCTCCAGCAGCCTTGTGAGGAATGATTTCTGGACCCTGGATAAATTTGCAGTTGCAGGGAGTCTCTATTTACCAGTAATTGCATTTCTCTGCCCTCTTTCAGCCCCTGCCTTCAAAAAGGTTCTGTGCCTCAGGAAGTTGAAGGTGGTTGGGGAAAAAGCAGCCGAACATGTTGTCGGCCTCACAAGGCGCCCTGCCACAAAGTTGACAGCTTATAGGACGATCTGTACCATACATGGATACAAGCTGTACACCATACACAACCTGTCACATGGACCTTTGTGATCATTTGCATTTCCTGTAATTCAGCTCGACTAAAATGAAAACAAGACATTAACCACACATACACCTCTATAATCACTATACGATGGCTTAACTGACCTTTTTGCACACCGTCACACAAACGACAGAGCCGCATCCAGCTAATGGAGATGTTCACACACAACATCTGTATTCACCTCAGCTGTTGGATGGCGTAAATTAAGATAAATGGTCTGGATTTTTGGTTAATTTTTCATGCCAGAAGAGGCTCTGGCTTGCTTGTTGGCATGAATGCAAACAGCAGAAAGAAGAAAATGAAACAGCCCAGCTTTCTTGGGAGTTATCCCTACATTGGAAGATTTTGAAGCACACGACTTAAATCTACTGCCAGGATTTATTGCCAGTGCAGAGAGGACGGATAAGAGACAGACGTAAGGTTACAGTGCATCTTTCATACCAAAGATTGGAGTTTACATTCTGTCACAGTACAACAATTGATGCTCGTAATCTCCCTATAACCTTTAAAGGGTATTTCAGCGGTATAGAAGTTGAGGGATGTGTGACAGAAAGATTAAAAAAAGGAACATTCAATGCAGCACAGGCATAAATATTTTTCAAACACCACTAAATGCAGCTCGACAGTATCTCTTTAAAGCTTGATGACATGGTTCTGGTAAATTAAGAGACTTTAAATTAAGTATTTAAGAAGAGATTATAATCTAAAGGGCAGCCGCTGTGGGGCTTGGTGCATTGAAATTTGCAAGCTCATGTTTTATTTGCCCTGGCAGACGTATCTTGTCCCTTTCCTGTTCGGACAGATTTCTAGCTGACCTGGTCCTGGTCAAGCCTTAGAGGCATGTTAGTAACAACCATCATGATCGCCTCTGGTATGAATATTCATGCTGAGTACCAGTGGTAGCTTTTGGCCATATTCTGAATCATATTCTGCTGAAAGTCCATGTTTTAGCTGAACTAAAGGTCGTATAAATGGAACTTTGGATTAGCCTACCCGGCAGCAGTTTGACATTACTCGCACGTTTCACTCCTCTAATTGTTGGTGGCATCTAGGAGCGTTTTAGTTGCAGCCAGTCATAACACCTGTCACGAATAGGAAATTATCCGAGAGTTTACTAGGCAGTCCTAAAATAACAACCAAATAACTTCAGGGACAAATATTTCGACGTTTCTAGCCTTAAATGTTTGTTATTTAAAGTTTTTAAGAGACCTCTGGTCAGTCTTAAGGATACATAACCCTATGCTGTCAGGGTGTACAGTCTGCTCTGATATCTTCACATATTTTTTCATTGCCCTTTGTTTTTATAGTGTGGAAGTTGTTCAGTGCCAATTTTTTGGTGTCATTTCAACACTCGTTTTTGCTCATTAAAAATGAAACAATAATAGTTAAAACATGATATAGTTGTATCTTAAAATCTTAAAGGGATATTCTGGAGTAAAATTAATTCAGGGTTAGGGTTAGGGATCATTACTGATCATTTCCTTGAAGTAATAATCACCATATTAATCATTTTGCACTGCAGACGCAGTAGTTCCTCTGCCTTAGCGTCTCGGTCTGATTGCATTTCCATGAAGAAATGATCATAAATGTTCTTCCTTGAGCTGTGTCACCCCGCTGCAGTAGGTGATGGACTCATCCGAGGTCTCTGTACAAACAAGCGGCTGCTGGAAGAGAGTAGGTGAGTTGTGTTTAGTCTCTTTGCCAAAGAAATTAGGCAAAGTTAAAAAGATGTTTGGTGGCTAGTGCTGTGGCTGGGACCCTATATGTACTGTTGGTGAAGTTAGGTGCTGTTCTGAGCATTATTTGTGGCTATAGAGTGGCGTTTTGGTTGAGCACATGGCTCCTTAGGCCACTGTGTATTGCTATCGTGCTGTCGTTACTCAAGTTTGTACTAGAGAAGCAAGCGGTCTGCAACATTCATCTCTCGAGGGGGTGTCTAACTAGGTGTTACGGTGTGTTTGACCCTAAATTAATTTTGCGCCGGAATATCCCTTTAATGTGTTCCTCATAATGCACTTTGAAGGCTCGATGCTAGCTATGTAAACATCAGTGCATTTCAATGTCTCCTGCCGTCCAGATAAGATTGCATTTATGTCCAAATGTAAGTCACCTTTGACGTCATGGGAAGCATTTTTTAAAGCTTTGCAAACACCCTCTGAAGCTGCAGTGGATGTAACACACACACACACACACACACACACACACACACACACACACACACACACACACACACACACACACACACACACACACACACACACATCTTTACAGGCTTTTAAAACTTTATACCAACCATGAAGAGCAGATTAATCCTTGCACGTAAAAATGGTGCAGTGTTCCTTTAAATGCAATGTAGCCACCACAAACTCCCTCCACGTTGGATAGAAGACATGGCTGGCCATTAATCATAAGGGTTGGCGGCTCGGTCCTTAGCTCCTCTCGGCTGTGTGTTGAAGTGTCCTTGAGCAGGACACTGAACCCCCAAAATTGCCTCTAATGCTCGCAGAGAAAAAAACCAACAACGCTTTTTTGATTAAAACATCTAAGAGGATTGCACTAAAAATCAATAACTTAACATTTGACAGTGAATGCAACCTGGCATTTTGTCGAGTTGTCTCGTGATTAATGTTGTGTCTGGCAGTAAGGTTAAAGAAAACAAGAATATAGTGAGAAATGCACTAGCTGTGATGTATGCATCCTTATTGATCCACTGATAAAAGGAATAGTGCCCAGGCTGTACGAATGGTTAGATATGAAGATACAGCGTGTGCTCTTGCCGCTAAGAAATAGGGGCTGCAAACATGAGTGATGGAGTAGAGTACCAACAGAAAGTAGTGCCTCCACTTTATCTCCACTCTGCTAAGCTGGAGACACACAGGGAAACACCGCATGGACAAGAAAAGAAATCGATACGCTGAAACAGTTGCTTGAATAAAATCCCCAACTCTGTGCAGCTCGCTGTAGTTTCTGAAACCCCTAAAGTGTAAGGAAAAAAAAGAAAGATCTGCTCCTTGTTAGCGGGAAGTCACTACAACGCAATAAAGTACTTAGCAGCTTTGTGTGGAGAGAGGGACTGCTGTGCTGACTGCTTGCAAAGGGAACAGATTGGAGTGTTGCATATGACTCAAAATGTCCATCTGCCCCCATTATATGTGCAATTTTTGCTGCTTTCAGCATTATGTAAAGTGTGCTCACGCTCTCTCTCTGTAATTCTAGGAGCTTTTGCAGAAGAACACGAGGTATTTAAACAAATACACACTCTTGCATGAAACAGTGGCACAACAGGTAATTATTTGCAGAAGAATAGAGCAAGTGCGTGGGGTGCAAATTGCATTGTGGGATGGCCCTGCGGGACAGAGAAATGTCAATTGAAGTGACTGCCATTTTTATGCACACCTCATCTATTGTTCTCCGTGGTGAATTGCAGGGGGCAGTGTCACTGTATTTACACGCACCTCTCAGGACGTGGGTGTATTTGTTTGTCTCTGTCAGGGAGGATGATTTGCCCCCTCGTCGCTGTGCACAAACCTGTCGCTAAATGGGAACACAAGTTTAGCAATGTTTCCGAGCCCCTCCTGAGAGTGCGCAGAGAGCCTGTCGCCACCTGTCATAACCCTCAAAACAGCAGGTAGGGCAGGAAAAAAAAAACTACACCTGCCTGTCAAACACTCTTTTCTCTCTCTAATTGTTCGGCGCACATTCGCAGGATTACGGGTTTAATTCTGCTTTATAATCACCGTTCATTGTTCCCGCTTATTGTTTCCTTGCTCAGTTTGTTTGTTTGTGTTCTCACTTTGGCAACAGGAATGTTCTTTTGTCATGCCAACCAAGCGATTTGTGTTCAAGGCAATTGCATTTAATTTAATTTAAGAGGAGAATACAAGAAAGGCTGGTGCAGGAAGGAAAGGACGGGGAAATTAAGAAGCACCTGCAAACATGAGACACAGACAGGAAATTAAAAACCGCAAAATTATGACTCTTTCTCGCAACTATTTTCTCGAACTTTGACTATTTTAAGACGCTTTTATGAGCAGCATCTGCCAGTAAATGATGATTTACTCATTTAAAAGGACACAGTTACCATATTAAATAGGCCTGTTTTATAGTGTATGAATTAGATCCATCTGGAGATACAAAACTGGAGGAACAAAGCAGCACTATCACTCCTGGCTGCCCGTGTTTATGCCTTTAGAGAAGTGTTTGATAATCCCAGGTCGATACTATATACACTTATCTTTAGAGATTAAGCTGCCGGGTCCAGTAATCCTTGATAACATCTCTTATTCTAAAGCTACTACAGTAAAGATTGCACTATTTAAAGCACCGCACAGTTGATATACTGTGTTGTTTGTTGGCCAAAAATATTTAATTACTTGATATATTACAGAAGGGAAAAAAGGACGAGCAACTGCAGGAGATATACAATATAAAATGTAGCCAATATATTGACATACAGATAAAACTGCAGCTGTAGAGGGGAAAGATCTACTATTTGAAGCTTGTATCACAGAACTGACTTTTAATTAAATTTCCAAAAGTCCAGACCAGGTCTGGAGAACAGTACAGGTTATCTCCCGCTGTTTGTCCGTTTCAGCAGAGATCGGTACCTGGTTCGTGAAGCGTGATGTTCTACAGACTGGAACGTGTCCAGCTAGCACTCAGCTGTGGAGTTGGGTGGTTCAAAGCCCTTTGCCCAGCACGTAGTGATGCCCAGGGGCAGCAAGAGAGGAGACTGATCGAACCGTTTTTTACGTCGAGGTTGTCAGAGGTCTCCTAACTTCCTCACAAATCAATACGGGGCCTTAAACTGCAGCCAACCGGCTGAAACTGGCTGCAATCTCCTCGACAACTCAGCCTGTGTCCACATTTCTCATCAGTAATGACTGAGCAGTTCGAAACAAGCCCGACACCCCAGTGGGCCGGAGAACACTGACTCATGTTGTTCGCGGACATTAATAATGCATTTTAGCATGTAACACAGAATAATTAAGTCTGCTGCTAAATACGAGCTGAGTCCTGTGTGCCGCTTTGTCAGAATTCTGTTTGCAGAGAGGAAGAGAGAGAAGGAGAGAGGGATGATGACTAAGCCAGCCATCTTTGTTGTGAATGATTATGGGCTTTACACTCGTGTCCTTTATTTGTTTGGTTTGCATTTAGTTTTTATCATGATGTCAACAACAAGGGGTCGAATTAGATGGGTATTAATCCTCTGTGAGCCAGTCAGAACTTTCTTTATCCTGTCCAAATTACAATGTTAGTGAGCTGATACAACAACGACAACAACAACTCCTCTTTACAAAGCTGTGTGGGTGTCAGTTTAATACTTGGGATTCAGCACCGATGACAAAAATGACACTCATTTTGAACACATCAAAGGAAGATGATTAAAGTTTGGACTGTTTGGTCTGAAAAAAGATATCATGGGACGAGGTAACCCGAGACTTGTATCAGAACCAAATGAAATCTTTGACTATGTTTTGACATCTGATAAAATAACAGATCCACTGATCCTGAAAATGATCAAGAGATTGAATCATGATTAAAATTTTCATTTCTTCCTGCCCAAAGTGACAAAGAACTCATAAGTTGTATTTTCATGATGAAAAACCTCAAAGGCTTTTCCCTGAGTTTTTCACTCTTTGTAACTTTTTTCCCAAGTCCTAATTTGCTGAGAAGGGCATGGACATTGTGATTAAAAAACCTTGGGGGAAGCTCAACTGTAGATCTTTAGTGCTCGTTTTTGTTTTATCTGGGTACTTTTTTCAACATCCCACTGAGCATTTTTTGGTCTAAAAGAGGTCTAATAGATGTCTAAATGTGGCCTGGATGACTAGTCTAAAATCAGGCTACCACAGGTCTAAAAATGACAGTTTTTAGAAGTCTAAATTTAGACTAAGTTTAGTACAAGTCTAAATCTGGGCTATATCTATACTACACTGTATATTGCTCAACGGCTATCATAATCATTTTGGTTAACTACTTGGAAATCAGTTATGCAACTCAATAAATAGTTATCGAATAATAAGTTAAATTGCAATGTCCAAATTCTGTCTAAAAATATCCAGAATCTAGACGGTTGAAATTAGGTCTAGGTCTGCAGTTTAAAAAAACATGAATATCTGCATATTTCAGAAAACACAAAGGTAAATAAACAATAAGTCTCACTGATTGGCCAAAACTCAAACCCTTAACAACAGTCGAACTACACTTCCTGTTTATAGATGCTACTGCAGGGATAGCTCAGTCTTTTTCAGTTTTAAAAGGATGAAAGAGAAACTTGAGCTCATAGGAGACAGTTTGATGAGGGACACATATAAAGTGCAGTTTTTGGTGCACGTTAATTGATACGTTATTGATACCAGTTAACTACATACTAATTCGTCTTAATAGATTTCTTAATAGAACATAAACAACTCAAACATACTTTTACTCTGTCAATGGTTAATTGGCTTGATTGTATCAGCACACAATGATATCCGTCAGGATCTAGTTACACAATGAGCAGGCAGCTGAAGACCTTGACCTTTCAGCAAAAGTAAATAACTAGTTAAGTTCAATATTAGACCTGGAATGTTCCGACCATTCAGCGCTTATTACATGACTTGATACAGATGCTTAAAACACATTGAAATAAAAACATATAATGATTAGGATTTAGGAAAACAGTATCTTTAACGTTTGGATGATCCCTGACATCCCTCTCTGTTGTTTGGATATTTCTGCTAGTTGACTGCTGCTGTCTTCTTCAGATGAATTAGAAATCCTGATCCAGGTTACGTCGGCTACACTTTTCAAATAGACTGTTTCTGATTCTTATTTTCATCCTGCTCACTCCAATCTAACTGATGTAACAATCTAATTGATCACTTAAGTGTAATTGGAATCACTTGAATCTTTATGCTCCAATCCATGTTAGCCATGCTTCAGTCCCCCTCAAACACTGATCTTTTTTTTTTTTCTCCCTCTCTCTCTCCCTCTCTCTCTCTCTTTTTCCATCCCCGGTGGTTCTGGTCTGCTGCTCCCTCTCCATCTCCTCTGCTCTTTATTGACTGTTGAGTGTAAGGCGGTGTTAAACCAGCATCGATGTAATAGTGGGCATTAGCCCTTTGAACTGCCCTTAATCTGACTGTAATAAACTTACATTTATTTTGGTGGCAGAGGCTTTTCTTCTTCCACACACACTCTCTCTCACTCACTCACTCTCACACACATAAATATTTGTGGATGGATATCTAGAGAGTGTGAGGGCAGGAGGAGAGAGATGGGACCTGAATAAAAACGTCCATTGTTATGGGGATAGCGTAGCCTGTCAAAAGCTCTTCTGTGGAGCAGTGTACTAGAGCTGTGCTTGAATCTCGCCTTTAATTGGAATGTAATTGGAGAAGCACCACTGATCATGAATCACATTCGGCTCCATCTCCTTCCTCCCTGAACTCAGGCCTGCTCCTTTTTCCACTCACTGACTCTGACTCTTTCCCCCCTCTCTCCTGTACACCTCCTCCTCTACCTCCTCCTGCTCCCGTAAGGAGGACGTCAGTCATGTGCAGTGGAGCGACGCAGAGGAACAAGGCCCCCTACTGGGTCCAGAGCGTGCGGGTCAATGTGTGTCTGGGGCGCAAACAGCAAGAAACAGGGAAAAAGGGAGGAAAGAAGAGGAGGGGGAATGGAGGTGGAGGAGGAGAGAAGAAGAGATTAAGAGGAAAGAGGGTGGGAGCGATGAGATGGAGCGCAGGAGTTGAATCATTTGTAATAGCCTGTGCGCTCTATTGCGCCATTTCATCCAGCATTTAGTTAAGCGAGATTTGTTTTGTTTTTGCCTTTGTTGCCGGGAACGCTCGGAGAAGTCAATTTGTTGGCTCATTTGTCAAATGCTGGACTGCGTCAGTGGCATCTCAGCCGGTGTCATGGAGCGGAGAAAAGCTCTCTCATTCAGCTGCGGTGTAGATGGGAATCAGGCTGCTGGAGATTGCCTGTGTACCATGTTAAATGTGGACTGGAAAACAATGAAAACTGAGGGCACCGGCAGTGCAACCTCTGCCTTAAATTGATTCCTAAGTGGAACAGGGCGGTATGAGCGACGTGGTGAGAGGGAGGTAAAGAAAGAAATGATGGGAAAAGAGTTTAAGGGGTAGACAGCAGCATAATAGTCAGTTAGAGTTAAATTGAAATTTCAATTCTCTTGCTGGTGTCCAGATTTTCATTCAAATTAAATAACAGTGTTTTAACAAGCGACAGGATGTGAATTCACAGACGGGATTAACAACATTTGATGGAAAAGCCAAAGCATGCTAGTTACATGTTAGCTAATTAAAAGCTTTAACTCAGTGCTGGTTAGAAAGTTACCTGAGAGGTTCTGATCAAAGAAGAAACTTCTCTCTGTTTTGCTTTGATGTTGGAACAAAGAGCCAACTTTGTTAGCTAATAGGCGCTAATTAGCGTGTGTTTGCAGCCAAGTGTAAATGATGGACAGATGGGGGGGAAAGAGTCGTACAATTACAAGTCAGACTTAAATCAGTAATTAGCTTTATTTACTGGAGACATTACAGACCACTACAGTATGAAACAAACTACATGTAACAAAGATGAGCAAGAACTGAGAATGGCTGCTTATAATGATACTGATAATGTTGACTGACTGTAACACTCAAAGCTCCAGCAGCAACCTTAGGTTTGAAATGTCCACTTGAGGCTGGCTCTAAAGGCCAACCAATATCAATTAAGATAGGAAGGATTATACTTTATTGATCTCCAGAGGGGAAATTAGGTCACTGCACCAACACAAGACTTGACAAGAAAGCACATAATACAACACAGACAACGGTTAAAAAAAGCCAGATTAGATAATAAGAGGTGTATAACTATGCAACTGTGGTAGAATGACGAGGAATTACACAGGGCAGCTAGGACATGTTAGGCAAAAGTGGCAGGTCAAAGTGACATCAGTGGGATACAGTGATATAATATCATGTGGTATGGTATGGTATGGTGCAGTATGATATAGTATGGTATGATATGATATGATACAGTATGGTATGGTATGATATGGTACGGTTCAGTGTGATATGATATATGATATGATATAATATGATACAATATGATATGATATGGTATGGTATGATATGATATGACATGATAGGATAGGATAGGATAGGATATCACAGTTTTACTTCCCCATCAATAACTATAGAAATATCATAGACCTGCTGTCTGCTTTAATAAACAAGTCCATGTTTGTGCTTTTTCAGTCTGTGTTGTTGTTGCAGCAGCCTGGATCTGCATCATTTCTGTCCTGGATGTGGTTTTTCATAATCGAGCTTGTTACTCTTCACGGCGCAGTTCAAGCCCGTTGCTCCTCCTTTTTTTTCCTCTGACCTTTAGGATTCAGTTCTGACATCTGTAAAGCAAACAGTAACGCCAGCGGTGACAGTGCCGAGCTGTCAACATTACAATTAGAGGTTGTCAGTCAGATACAGTATCAAAGCATGAGCAGACTCGTAAGCAGCTCAGCATTATTTCCACGACGTGACAACTCTGTGACCATAATTACAGATAACAGACCCGTGTAAATATCCTGATTATAGCTGGATGTTATCACTTGATTTCAAGTTCTACTAATCTGTCAAGTTTACCTTTACAACAAAAACCTAAGCTCAAAGCTGTGTTCAGGGTTTTCAATGTGACAACAGGAAATAAAGATCTGTGTTATTTCCCTGAAAAATAATAACTGAATGACAGAGAGTCTTTTCCATGAGCTGCCAGCAGACCGTTTAATGGGCAGTAATGAAAATAACAATGTACAACCACGCACAGAAACCCTAGCAAAAACATATGATTATATATGGACATAAATCAATTAAACTGAATGTGTTTGGAGGGAAAATTTTATATTTCAAAACACGAAACACCTTTTTTAGTCATGTTGTTCTCATGATGCTGGCTCCTGCTATGTTTTTAGGACTGATTTTAAGGCTGTTTGCATCAGCGCATTAATCCTGATGTGATTAAAGTCCAATATTAATGCAAATCTTTTCTCTTTTTTTTTAACTACGTGCTTATGGTTTCTTTTGGTTGATCCACAGCAGCATCTGTCTGCTGCCTCGGCGATGGAAAATTAACGGCACCATTACGCTCTCAAACGGCATATTTTACTTTTAAAACCTTGCAGACGACTCACTTGACAGGTCCAAAGAAATGTGCACTTTGTATTAAACAGAATTAATATATCACCCAAGTACTTTGAGTTGAAGCTACAGCAAGGCAGCTGCATCACAAAAGCTGTGCAGAGTGCAGATCTCCACAGACCTGCGGATAATGCTTAACTGGTCCAGGCCGTGTTTCTTTTTTATGACACGACAGCTGATGAGAGACAGGAAATGTGAGGAGAGAGAGAGAGAGAGAGAGAGTAGGTGAAGACATGAAAGCTGTATGTGACACATGCTGAGCTGAACCAGTGATCTGGTCCATCCAAGTGACGCAAACCTGAGGTGTTCTGATTTTGATAATACTCAAAGATGTTTCTTGTTTGTTATTTGCAGACTCCTGGTTTCTAACATACAGGAAACAGTCCTAGTTTAGTTGCTCCTCTGTGCATTCGCTGTATGTAACAACAGTTCGAAAATGTCCTCAGATTGCTCAGCTGTAGAAAGCAGCAAAACTGACAAAAGAATGAGGAGATAAGAGAGGCTGATTGTGCCTGAAACTAGAGCAGGGTCAGGAAACCTTCTTGGATATTTATGAGACATAAAAGATGACATGAAAATGTGATCAAATGGACGAGACGGAGGGAGAGATGAGTGTTTGAAAGAGCGGCGATTACTGACGAGGGTCTGATAACTGATGTCAGGCTGCAGAATTAGAGAGAGAAAGGAGAGCAAACAACAAAACGACACCCAGCAATCAATCAGACAAACAAAAACGTAGATGAAGAAATGGAAGAAATTTGAAATGAGTGTGAAAATGAAAAAGGGGGGGAGGCCAGAGGGAGGTCGAGATCAGGGTGATCAGAAGGAGAGAGAGAAAGCAAAAGGGAGGAGGTTGTTGTTTTAAGATCAGTACGGATGAGTGCGTTTCCTCTCTCCTGGGAGGACGACCATCGGCTCTTGGTGTCTGTCACTCCACTCGTTTATACCTCGCTTGGATAGAGAGGTAAAGGGCGCCGAGTCGTCCGTGGGTGTGTGTAACATGTGAGAAGCGGGGTGATTCGGAAAAAGAGGAGTGTTATGCTCTTTTCATCACAGAATGACTCACCCTTCCTTTCATTAGATTGTTTTTCTTCCCTGCAACACCCTCTTTTGCCCCCCCCATCCCCCGTCTCCCTTTTTTTCTCCCTCGTAAATACAGGTTGTAGAGCTCTTCAGGTGTGCTGCTCATCGTCTTGTGTTTTTCCTCATCTGAACGCACACTTTCACATCCTGCTGTAATGTGACAGGCTCTGGGGAGTGGTTGGTCACTGGTTTGGCTCCTGGTTGCATCATTTTTACCACGTTTTTTTTTTTAACACAGTTTCTTTTTTCCTTGTCCTTTTTAGCCATCGCCTAAAACTGAAATTGTGAGTTACTTGAAAGTCGAGGATCGGGCTCTATTTAATCATGTTAATGCCCCCACACTCTGTCTTACTCCTAAATATAAAGACTAAAATTATTCACAAATTCATCATTTCCACTGAATCATCAGATGGAAGTTTATATCTACATTATTTTATAAGCTGTACTGTGTACTTTTTCGATCCTTTAATTCAGTCCAGATTCAGTAGGAAATAAAGCCGATACAGAGAGACAAAAACATGCAGTTGAAGATGGCTCCAAAAGTCAAGGGATCCTGATCAGCCCAAGGGACAGGGGTTTGTGGGTTACTGACTCATGCAGAGATGGCATTGAGGTATTCAAAAGCACAAGAATGATCATCTGTTGCTCTTAGTACTCAAATAGTCGGCTCTGACTGCTTACATGAAAATATCATACAGATGTTTGTATTATTCTGAATAATAATATGACCAAAAAGCACAACAGAGGGGCAACATGACAAAACTTATTAGTTTCAATTCTTCATGATTCAGAAAGAAAACGTTGCCAATTAATTGATCTTTGACAGTAAGACAGTGTGCAGTCTCTTGTAACAGATGTGTAAATTATCTTATATATAAATCCTGAGCTGATATGAGGGAATACGACACTAGAATTGAAAAGAACTACCAGCAGTCCATTAAATACAACAGAAGTGTCTGGTATATACTTACTGGCCATTAACTGTGCCCATTACATGTTAAGTAGCCAGCATAGACTGTATATAGAATGGACGCCGTCTGCCTCCTCGATGGGGGAAGCCACCTTGAGAACTGCGCCTACCTCCTCTAGCAATCTTTATGGAGTTGTGGACAAACTTTAGGTTAAGTTATTAGGGGGTTCATGTTTTCTATGATTAACACTTGATACAGCCTATGGGTGTACAAAGATTAAGTCAATGAAGATTGCGTCGTTACAGCAACTCCCCCGTCGAATGCATACAACGCAACTGCGCAAGTGGCGGTTTCAGGAAGTGGATACAATCCCAAAAATACCGAGAGCTGAAAATTCATATAATAACAAAAGGAGGAGCCAAGTTGTCCATAGCATATACAGTCCATGGTAGCCAGTCAAAGTTCAGGGCTTTGGGATGGGGGCACCTTCTGCCAATCATATTTCCAGTTTGGTCCATGGCCTCCCTTTTGGACACCTCTAGATGTTCTTCTTTTCTTTTGTGTTTTAAATATATGTATTTTAGTTCTTTTCTCATAAAGAACAGCTGAAGGGAGAGAGTTATAGGGAGTAGAGCGTGGTTGAAGACATGCAGCAGCAGGAGGTCACGTACAGAGAATGAACCAGGCACCTCTGCAGTGAAGACTGCCGCCTCTGGGTATAAGGGACACTATGTCTGCAAAAAAATTCCCATTCTTACTGCAGAAATAATCATTTACTGTCATGGTTTCGGGTACCGCTTACTTGCTTATTCATGCACACTGTACAGTGGGTGAATTTTTCTACACTATATCTGTTAAGACACATTTACATAGCTGGAGGCACTGCTGATTCGACTGACTGGTCGGTGAGTTGTAGCTGTAGCCCTTGCCTTGAGGCTAGAAACCCACCGCAGCTCCACTTTTTTTTCGGCCTGTGGCAAAATTAATTGAAAGCTATGTTGAGTCAGCACTTCCAATATGGCGCCCACTTTAGCTCCATATCTTTCTGGTGGCGTCACTGAGCGGTCCATTTTTTATTCCCTCCTATGATTTTAGTGTCTTGCCTTATTGGCAGTTTTGAGAGATTCAGATAAAAGTTTGGGATGAATACGAACAAAACTCCTCATGTAAGGGTAAACTTGTTTGTTTATGGATAAGAGTATAAATGTCTAAAAGTTGACTTTGCTGCAGTATTGATTGGTTTTGAATCTCTGCTCTCATAACAAACAAACAGATTTAATTAGAAATGGTCATAACTCCACATGCTCCTGTCAACGCAGGGAGAAGTCTGGGAAACATTTCATTCACAAGAGAACATTAAACAACCCAATACATGAATAAGAAATGACAATAGGATAAATGTCATGTCTGCTTTTATGGTCTGTTTTTAAGTATCTGGAGAGATGAAACCCCATCATTTTACTTTATAATACCAACTGTCTGACATCTGATATTTAATTAAAAGCCTGTTTTAGTCAAATGAATTAGAAGGTTGATTTATTCCTCTGAACTAAGCGATAACTAACATCCTCTCTGTTGTAAAATTAGCACTAAAAACCAGCTCTGTACCAATGTGATAATGCTCATTTAGTTTAAATTACAACATGTAAAACGAGCCAATTTCGGGGCTAATATAGTATCAGCATCGTAGTGAACTGGCTGCAGCCTGAAAAGCCCTCTCAGACAAAGTTATCATTGTTTTTGCAGGGAGGCAGACCTGTCACCCTGAGTGTGTGTTTAGCCCGTTTGCCATGAAGGTTATCAGGCCGGCACACAAACTAGACTAGAGGTGGAGGGGAGGCGGCGCGACTCACCAGAGGTTAGGGGGAATAAGTATGCAGCGCTGGTTCTTGTTTTCACCTGAGTGTGTGTGTGTGTGTGTCTGTGTGTGTGTGCGGTGGCTGTCTGTCCATGCGTCTGTTTTCCTGCCTGTCTCTTTCTGTGTGTTTGTGCAGAATCTCCCAGCAGGAGCAGCCAAAGTGCGCTCCTCCTAATGTCATCCTGTGGCCGTCCTCCAGCTAAAAGCCGGCGGCGAGCTCTCCTCCCTCCAATGTCACCTTTCCTCTTTCAACACCCTACTTTTCTCCTTCTCCGGCGCCTCCTCCTCCTCCTCCTCACTCTTCCCTCTCTCTTTCCCTGTTTGTCATTTTTCATCATCTGTCCATGTTTGCTAATCTCCGTCCTTTCTCTGCTCTCCGTCTCAATTCATCATCTCCACTTGGGTCTGGTGCTGAAGGTTACCGAATCGCTGATAGAGAGAAGAAGACGAGGAGTAGACGATCATAGAGGCTGACAGTGAAGGAGGGGAGGAGAGAGAAGGAGAGGTTATCCTCTCATCTCCTTCTCTTTCTCTCTCTCTGTCCTTTTTTTGTTTCTTCTCTCTTTGCATCTCTGCATCCCTTTTCCATCTCTGTGTTCTTATTCTCCTTTACCCCCTCCTCTTCTGCTCCTCCTCTCCTGATCTCTGCCCCCTCCATCTGCCTCCTCCTGTCATTTCTTCCCCTGACATCGCTCACCTCTCCCTCCTTCCCCTTCTCCCCTTCTCCTCCTGCTGATCCCTGCAAACTGACAGCCATCAATTTCAGACAGATGGACGGGCTTCACACAAACAGCATGTGAAGTGTGTCAGTTTGGACCTAATGTGATGTGAAGCCCGTTAGCGTGACCCATGTGGACGAGGTCGACGTTTAGCCCCGGACAGTGTTTACGCTTTGATTTGTGTATGTTAAATACGGTCAGATCACCTTGTCTGCTGTGCCCCCAGCACAAATAAATGCAAAAATACACACATACAAACGCACATCTCAGTACATTAGGCTGTTAGTGCATCCTATCTCTGCGCACATAAGGTCACATTCAGAGCTCCTGTATGCCTGGCTACACAGGCCAGCTACATTAGGGGCCGGAGGAATCGCACTAAAGCAGCCGGCCCGTCTCTATCTGAAATTCTAATCATCCCTCACAGATATTACTATTCTGTCTGTGCTCCTGCTGGCTGCCTGGGCTCAGTTGAAAGCTTTGCACTAAAGTTTTGGTTAAACCGTGAAGGCCGAAGCTCATTTCATAACATCCACATTTGTATAACATAATGATAAACACAATCTGTCTGTAACTCCCTGCCCCACAATCTCCTGCCTGCCCGTCTGTCTCCCTTCACCTTGGCCTCCACCAACCGAAACTTCAAAACAATGTCTTTTTTTTCTGATCCATCCCTTTGGTCAGTGTTTATTTATGCATTAAACATCTTTTCTTAATAATCTACCCTCTCATCTTTCAATTTCCCTTCCTTTCTCTTTATTCTGTCTCCCTTAAAGCGTCTAACCTCTCCACTATCTCAGCACCCGGGCACACACACTCACTTCCCCCCATTTGACTCAACTCTTATCTCCCCCTCTATATACTCCTTCATCTCTTCTTCTTCTTCTTCTTCTTCTTCTTCCGATCCGTTTTCTCTATCTTCACTCCCTCTCTGTGCCCTCTATCACTTCCCCTCTCCGTCCTCTCCCACGGCTGAAATGAAACCCCCGTCGGCGTGAGCCCGGCCTGCCACACGGACCCGAGAAACAGACCTTGAAAAACAAGATAAAGTACATCAAAACTGCAATGGGGCTCACCGCTCCACGGGCAGTGTGTATATTTTTGGATACTATTTCACATTTTTACACCCTCCCCGCTCGCCCGCCCGTCTCCACCCAGTCTGATCGTCTGCTCAGCTCTCCTCTTTCTCTTCCTCCTCAGACAGACATTGTCGCAGTCCTGACAGTGAGGCGAGTCTGCAGTGATTAACATTGATTAAAGTGACTAACGAGTCTCCTTTTCATTCTGCCGGGGTGTGTGTGTGCATATGTGGTTGTCAGAGTGTATGTTGTTATGTGTTTTTTGTGTGCGCGCATGTGCTTTTGTGTTCAGAACGTGTCCATAAAGCTGTCACTCATCTGGGCTCGGGTGTGAGGGGAAAGAAAAGCCCAGCTGTGAGTGCTTAGCAGTTAAGGTGTGTATTCAACTGCATTGTTCAGAGATGAATATGTGTGTGTTTGTGTGTATTTGTGGGTATAATGTAGTATACATCCCACATGGAGCACACTCACCAATTAAACTGCCTGTTCAGGAAAGACTTATCCTTTTATTTCCTGCCACATGAACATTGTATACTCAGATCCGCGCAGTGAGAGCAGAGCAACCTGCAGCTTCATTCAGCGCCAAGTGACCAATCAAATCAGCCGTTTTCATCCACAACAACCAAGTCTGCCGTGGTGTTTCAGTGACTGAAAATCTGTGTGATTTTTTTAGTCTTTATATTGCACGGTCGGAGCTGTTTGTCTTGCTAACCTTTTTCTGGAAATTTGTGAAAGTGATTTGACAGAGGTATATAGAGTTTTTATTGTTTTTTATTTGAACATTAGATCAGTTTTAGGTGGATGATAAGAGGTTTTCTTCAAGTTAAGAGGTCATTGGGATCATAACCAGACCCTGGAGCTTCCTTCAGTTTTAGTGGGTGTTTTAACATCTCTCAGCACTTTGTTTTTACTTTGTGTTTAGCAACTGTTATTGGGCTTGTTAAGTGTCAGTTTTTAGCTAAATGGTTCTAACCATAGACATAAGATATGTAGATGTCTCATAGACTGATGCTGCCTATTTGAGCTGACGTTTCAGCATGGTGGCCATCTTGGATGGGTTCCCCATGCATCCTCAGTGCATTTATTGGTAACCCTTTCTTTTACAGTACACTTATAACCAGGTAATTAACAGATAATTACCTAGTAATAACATGAAATGATCTAATAATTATCTAGTAATTACATGATAACTACTAAGTCAATACTGTCTAGTTTTTCTTTTTTCTGCTCCATTTTCAAAAGCTATTTGGGGTTCTTATTTTCTATGATTGACACTTGATACAGCCTATGGGCATGTGAAGATTGCGTGGCGATACGCTGTTTGAGCCGAGCATTATCACAGCGACTCACCGGCCGAATGATTCGGCTTCAAATTTGTATGATGATGGAAGGTTACCTACCTGGTAGCTAGACAGTATTAACTTAGTAGTTATCATGTAATTACCACATAATTTCATGTTATTACAAGGTAATTACCTGTTAATTACCTGGTAATAAGTGTACTGTAAAAGAAAGCCTTACCCATTTATTTCTTATGAGGAAGGTAGGTTTGCCCAACTAAATTAATCACAACTCTTCTAAATTTTACCTGGTTTTCACATGTTTTTGTTTTTTTTTAGACATAGGGCTTGTTCTCTGTTGACTCCGGTTGGCTTTGTTGCGAGCCTAGTGTGAGGAGACCCATTCAATACGGCAGGGACACTGGATTACAATGAGGCATCTATGTATATAAGGTCTAAAGTTCCAACTTTCTATGTGTCTAGTACCTTCCCAAGAACCAAATATAAAACTCTGTGTGGTGACAAGCTGGCAACACGGTGTAGCTGCTAGCATGTAGCAAGCAATGAAAGAGCCCAATATTTAAGACAAAAAGAGATAATCATGAGTGGATGTTGAATTTCACATTGAACCAACCATAAAAGGTGAAGATTAGACTTAAAAACACTCAGAAGACCAAAAATTTGCAGGTACATGCAGATGATATAAATCATTGGAGACTGGCCGCATTTGTTTCTAGTTAAAAAAAAAAAAAAAAAAAAAAAAAAAAGTGACAGCTTATGCTTCTCTATTTGTTTTTGTTTGTTTGCACTTCAGGGCCACCGTAGAAATATAATGGGTAAGGATCACTAAGTCTGCTGGTGCACATAGTCATGTTGGTAGTTTGAGTGTCTCTAATGTTAGCATAATCAGCATTGTATGCCTATGTCAGTTACAGGATTTGAAACTAGATACTACATGATCTCCTTTCTCTAAACCAAAATACTCCAAAACCACACACTGCTGTGAGATTCCACCTGTCACCTGAGCTTGAGCAGCAGAGCATTAAAGCATCATGGCAGTGACCATGAACCAGAGCTGCAGTCCTGGCTAGTGGTGCGCTACAACTCAGTGAGTTACCCCAGCTAGCTTAAATATTCATCACATGTCATTGTGGTTTACGCTACATTGAAAATTCAACTAGGTCTGCATACTATCTTCATTGACCTGCAAATTTTAGTTTTTGTTTTCGACCTGGTGAGACAAAAACATCTGTGACAAGACGGTAATACAGCTGAAGCATCACAACAAGGTTGAGAAATGATTATATTGATGATTCGCCCTGCCCCTTTTTCTTTCTGCATAAAAGCACACCAAATTGACACTTAAAAAAAGAGCGGTATGCTCTGTTGAGCTTTAAACAAAAGCCGAGCATTTGCATGAGCTGTGTGACCCAGGTGTGATTGAGCGTGTTGATTTAGTGCTGTATGGTACCTGAACACAGGAGCCGGAGCACTAACCCTCCTGGCTGAGGCGGCACAGGCTGAGTGAGCCTTTGAGGTGCACAGATTCACATCCGACATGGCTGCCTGAGCCATAAGAACAACTCCATGAATTATGAAAGGGCACAAGCTCTTTGCCGGGTTGCTCTGAGAGGGGGAGCGATGGAGGGAGAGATAACTACACACTGTAGATAGATAGAAAGATAGTGTAGCGTGAAGCAAAGTGGAAAAAATAAAGGAGAGAGAGATGCTCGGGCACAATGAGCGAGGGAGATAAAGTGTGCATGTGTAGTGGAGTGAAAGAGTGTTTGTTTTGGAGTGAGGGGGGAAAAGTGTGGGGTTGTCTTTGTGTGAATTTCGCCTGTGGGTGTGTGCCTCCTTCTTTAATGTAACCAGCTGTGTAACTATGCCATCGGATTTGGGCGCTCATCACCGGGCAACGTTTTCACACAGACACAACATACACCACGCAGGCTTTGTTCCAGCTTTTCAAACAGTTTCTACTGCGGCGGTGTGACAGCACGCGAGGAGGGGATCTGCTGCTGCTGCCCACCGATCCAAACCTCAGCAGAAAACCGAGGAGAGAAAGAGACAGGAGATTTTTTTTTTTTTTTTGGCACCAATTATCTAATGTGTGATCTTAGGCCGGGCTGCCTGTCACAGGCAGCCTCTGGTTTATTCTGTCTTTTAATCTTTTGAGTAATCTTTTCGCCACTGCTGAGCTGGTGTCGCCGCAGTGAACTCCAAGACAAGGCAATTCCATTAGGAGATGGCATGAGGCTGCATTCATTAATGGCCTGGCCAGATGCTGGGAGGGGGGGAGGAGGTAGTGAGGTGGTGAGCGTTTGGATTTGATTTGATTCCTTGAGATAATGTATTGTGCCTCATCACAAAGTTGTTCCAGAAAGGTTTTCATATTCAGCAGAGGGGGTATTGTGGCTGCGAAGAGAGCAGGTGGATTTGCTTGAGTATCATTGTTCAGTGAAACAACCCGTCTACTGTCTCTTGCCAGCACTCTTTTCTTGTTCCAGGTCTCTATCTCTGTGAAGCCTCACCTGGGCCTGCTCAGTATTCAAGGCTCCCCAAATGTCCTCTCAAATCTTCCCTCAATCTATTTGAAGTGTTAAAAGAGACTCCGTGTAGCATCTTTAGTTCCTGCACCAGTACCTCTCTCTCCTTTCACTGCCTTCTTTCATCAACATACAGCAGTTGAGGTTTGTTGTGAAATTTTCACAGGAATTGGTGGGGACCAAAATACTTCTAAGAAACAGCAACTTGAGCTCGCTGAGATAACCACAGATGACAAGAGACAGAAGCTAGCAGCCTGTTCTCACTCTTAAGTTGTCAAATGTGGCACCAAAAAAATCAACATATCTTTCATTTACTTGAATTCCCATTTCCTGATATTAAGAAACGACTCTTCCTGGGGTCCACACATGTCAAAATAATAATAACATCCTAAAAAATAATATTATCAATTCAGCTCAAAATGGAATAACAGAATACAATCCCAAGAAAAAAGGTAGATTTGATTTCAGACAACATTAGCAAACTGTTTTTGAATCATGAGAGCAATCTCTCAAAGTACCACTTACCCAGAAACCACTCTAGCATCATTTCTGGTCACTGACTACCTGCTTTTTGTTTTGATGTGGTTTTAAAGTAGAATCCTCACAATATCCGATTCTCACCTCAACAATCACTGTTGCTGAAAAAGCACAGCGATCATATTATTCAAATACTTGTGAAAGACTTAAGAAAATACAATGCTACTATTCACATTATGGAAAGGAAAGACGGGGGGGATTAAAGGGGTATTTCATAAACTTTTAAGAGCTCAAAGGTGGGGTAGGCAGGATCTAAAGGAAGTGCCAGTTTTGGGGAGAAATCTTCCCCTCAGCTCCTCCTCTCCCCTCCGTCTCTGCTCCAGCAAGACCCGCCCACAAACAGACGCTCCTGCTCACTTTTATCGTTTCAATTAAATTCAAATATAATGCAGATAAATACTTCAGATTATTAGTTCTTCTACCAGAGTCTCCTGTATTTATTTCGTTTTCTTGCTTGTGTTGGCAGTTGTGGCTAAAGGAGGATTCAGACAATTTTCTGTACTTTCTGGTTGTTTTCTACTAGCCGATATTGTAGCACGCTAACTTTGTTTGGACTCGTGAACGACATAGGGAAGCAGCATCTGCCTCACAACTAATCAGGTTCAGGGAGGTGGAGAACGGCTTTGTTTACATTCAGAAGGAGCAGGCCACTCAAAAAATTGAAAATGTTGACTACACAGACACAACAAAACACAGCAATATCATTATATGACCAAATGTCATCAATAACTAATAGCTATTGACTGATATTAAAAGCTTTTTGTATATACACCACAAAAAAAAGATGCTTCTTTAACGGAATCCTGCCTACCCCACCTTTAACTAGAAACCTGGTTGACTAACTTACACGTCAACCCCCACCTACCCACCCCCCAAGGTTATAGTACCTTGCCGTCTTCTGTCATGTCTTCCAACATGATTCGTGCTGCAGTTGAAGCCCCACATTGCTGTGAAGACTAGATAGCAGTCTGGATACTTAATCTTCTTCAGGGTGATTTTACTTCCAATAAGAAGATTTGAATTTGCAAATATTCGTAAACATTCAGCATTTAAGTTTAGCCAGATGACAGCCGAGCCCACAGTTTGGGGTTTGTCTCGTGGAACACAACGATGGCCAATCGGGAGCGAATCTGACTAAAGAAGGAAGCTCAACAAACAACTCCAGTTAATGTGCAGCATTTGTTGATGTCAGAAATGGAGGACCAACAACACAAGTGTTCGACAATCTGTCCTCCGAAACAGTAGGGAGGGGAGACAGTAATTGCTGGAACAATGCGTACCGGGTAGCTGAGCAGTTGGCAACTTTAAACTACGTACATTACACTACTCTACAAAAGCAAAACTGTTGAATGTTTCATTATTTGTCCTCATGAGTGGGCTCTCTCACAATTTCAACATCTGTTATGAGATTTTAAAGTATTTCTAGTTTTCCACAAGCCTCTCTAGTGTCTCTTCTTGCACTGTCTGCATTCATCAGAAAACAGCATTGTGATTCCTGTCCTTCAAGACGTAAACATGCTAATAGATGCCTCACATTCAGCGCTTCTTATTGTTTCTGTAACATAAGTGCCTGCATGAACCTGTAACCCGACACACGCGTCCTTGGGAGATTGAAAGTGATACAAAAGGGAAGCAGAATACAGCCAACGGAAAATGAAAGTATTAGAAGAGGCACAAAAGACAGAGAGATTGGAAGTAGAAGGGGCAAAAAAGAACAATAAGAGTGGAGGAACTGGCGGTGATGCAGAAAGGAACAGAAAACGTGGGCTGAATACGGTCAATTATTCAAGAGAAAAAGGTCTGTCATACCTTGGGAGCTGATTTCGAACATGCCTGCCTAGCATCACCTGCTAATGGGCCACAGATTGACATCCTACCTGAGCGCCTTATCCCGGCTCTCCCTTCTCTCTCTCTCTATCCTCCTGTACGAGCTCTTATCAGGGCTTTCTGGTGAAACGTGTAAATAATTACTCCATGACCACTCTGCTGTGCAAGCTGGGGGCTTGTTTGCACAAAGGAAAGGAGGATATATTTTAAAAGGGCGATGGGTTATTTAAAGAGAAATGGGTGAATTATTTATGGAGGCCTTCTCAGTTGTGTTTGCGCCTCTGTACTTGGGGTATATTTGGGCTAGCTGGAAATAACGTCATTGTGCGTTTTTTATTTGCCAAATGAAGCATGTGTTCAGCCTCATTCATAAGTGAGTATGTGTGTGTGTGTGTGTGTGTGTGTTTTTCTTTGACATTTCCTTTCTGGTTTAAAAGTGCATGAGTGTGTGTGTGTTTATATGTGTTTGGTGCCCTTTCGGGGGGCTGCGTACCTACATGAAACCCTGTGGTTGCCATGGCTCAGAGATAAAAGAGCAGATTATTCTACTTGGCATCCATTAGGGCTGGTGTTGGCTGAAAATCGTCCAGTCTAAATCTGACCTAGAACTACTTTCCTTCATCTTTCTTTTTTCACATCTCACCCTCCCTCTCTCTCTCTTTCTCTTTTGTCTTTGTTCTTTTTCTTCTCTCTCATTCTCTCAGGGTAAGAGAAAGAGAGAGGGATATGTGTGCCAGCTGAGAGAAGTAGCTTAAAGACTGATTTTTTTTTTTTTAAGTTTACACCCTACTGTGGTTGACTTCCTGTGAGAGCAGCTCACTCCTCACATGCTGAACTTCAAAGCTTGCGTAGCCTACTTTGTAAAGATAATAGAAGTGTCTGAGTCCTCTCAAGCTCATGAACCTCTCTGTGGATTTTGACTAATATTTCCTCATATATGGGGATGTCAGGGGTTTACCTGCATGCTGGTTTTTTATACCCATTTGGTTCATTTGTCCCTCAGATTCACACTTACAAACCTGACGTGAACTCAGAGCTGTTTTTCTTGAGTGTGTCCTCTGCTCTGTCAGGGGGCAGACAGTCGGCGATGGGCGAGATAAGCGGTTTTGTCTATGGCCGTGGCGAGTTGGCGGGAGATGCTTGGCACCCTCACTGAGGGCGTGTGCTGTGGAGAATTCATCTTGATGAGAGCTGCTTTTGTGTGTCTTCCTGCTATCTAGCCTCTCTGTCGGACTCTCTCTCTCTCTCTCTCTCTCTCTCTCTCTCTTTCTCTCTTTCTCTCTCTGAGGCCAGCATGCGTTTAACAAACCCCCTAAAATACACACTGAATTTATTTGTCATGTCTCCTATATACATTCACTCACAAGTTTAGTCATTCAACCAGTGGATCGCCATCATAGATGAGTGAGTGAGTGGATCAGATGTGCCATAAGATGAATCAAACATATTGATTGTTGATTGTGCAGCCTTATCTTCCAAAGAATGTGTTTTGACTGATTGGTTTATAAAACAAGTGACTCAGTGTGCAGGCTCTGACCTTGACTAAGGTTGTGTTGGTTTGTTTACATAATCAAAAATGTCACTTTTTGTCAGTTTAACTAGGGCTGGGCGATATGTCCTCAAATCAATATCACGATATATTGAGCAGTTCACCTCGATAACGATAAATGGACAATAACTACTCAACAAGCTGTTCACCCCCTCCCACATTAACTTCGTCAAATTCAGCCGCTACAACTTTTGAACCGTCCTCCATCTCCTCACCTGTCTTTCCCTCTTTGAGAGAAAGTCACGTTTCTGATGTAGGACAACGTCTTAAAGGGACATGAGACCATAGCCTACCTACACGCATCCAAAACCAACTTTTATTTATTTATTTGACACCTAATATACCGATATTGGCAAAATGACTTCGGTTATTGTCGTAAATATCGGAATCTACATATTTTCGGTTTATCGCCCAGCCCCAAGTTTAACTCTGTTTTACTGAATAGTATTCATCACTATCTGAGTTTTAACTGTATAAAGCTTTGTTATGCAGCTAAAACTGTGAGGGTGAGAATTTCAGTGAATGCATTTACAGATGTCCGAAAGCAGTTTACTTACAAGATGTGTAAAACAGCTTTTTATAACACAGACTCTATGGAGGAAATGGGGTTACATAGACTCTTGCTATTCGAAAGCCTCGTGTTTGAAGTAACTACATTATTTTTAATGCCCTGTAGTGCACTGATAATATGTTTGTATGAGACAAGATCGGTAAATAAACCGTCACCATTTAATAAAAGTCTCAGAAGACGCATTTTGATACATTTAAGGGGGTCAGCTGCAGGTTTAATAGTCTTGATAAGGAAAGCATGATTTGCATTTTTCAAAATAAAATGGACTCATTCAGAGTAAAAAAGAGAAAGACGACACATTAGAGGTGACTCACTATAAGATAGGAAGATGATTACAACCAAAATGCATAATGGGGGTTCGTCATGATGGCTGTCTTCTGTTTTCTTCTTCTATTTTGAAGCAAAATTTGATTAGTTTTTGGCATCAAAGATTATTTATCAATGAGTATGATAAGTGTCATTCTGAAAAGACTGAAAAATAATTAAATCAACTCCATGTTCAATCATTGTATCCAGTTATTTCTTTGGATTACAACCTCTCCTTTATGATAATCCTATTTGAAGAGTAGTACCCAGTCAATGATCCTTCTTCTTCCTGTATCTTTAAATGCAAATGCGTAGAAGTCAAACCATAGTTTCTGGTTTCACTGCTGTTTTCATAAATGTCCCTATCTCCTTCACAGAATCCCAAATTCATATTCAAATTGTCACCGAGCACCACATTCATCAACCCGGGAACACATCAAATTCAATCTATTTTGAGGCCTTAATCTGCGCTCTTATACCTGTACACTCGCATAGACACACAGACGCACACATATTTAATCATTTCTGGTAGGAACGCTCCATTGTCCATGTCTGAATGTCGGACCTTTGCGGGAGACTGGGCTGTGAAGGAAAGAGGAGAATGAGTTCTGCTTTTCATGATTTGACGACATCATTCTGCAGAGCTGGTGAATAGTGAAGCTGTAAGAGGAGGTTTGGTGTGAGACAGTAAATGAGGAGTGAGCAGGAGAGCAGGCGTGGGTGCGATCGAGGTACAATTAGAGCCTCGGCGTGAGGGAGATGGACCCTTGTTATCGCTGCTTGTCTCTGGATATAATCACAGCACCAACTCAGCGGGATGGATGACTTTTCATGGCTGGCTTTGTCTGCTGCCAGACATCACCTCATGTTACCTCTGAAGACTTTGTTTCCTACTATCAATAGACGAGGGTCACCAATTATAATTTACCAATTTCCCTCCTATGCTGTCTGTAGTTTTTGGGTCCCTCCTTTCCGTTTTAATGAGTTCATGTCATCCTTACATTTTCAGACACCTCCAAACCTGGCTGCATTTAATTAAAGCCTAAAATCATGAGTATCTGCTGGGTTTGAGTTTATCCCATTCTGCTGTCAATGTGGAGTCTCCACACCAACGCAAAGCTCAAAGCACAGAGGCCAATTATAGCCAGAAAAAATCTGTCCCAAGTGGTCCTTGGAAACATTTCAATCCAATAAAAGGGAGAAAAAAGCAGCCGAGTGGCCTCAGTTTCATTCATTTTATGCAAAGAGTCTGGTTGGAGCATAGCCACGGTTTAATATTCAACTGCATCATTCATATTTCTGTTTGATATTTAAACTTCCTCTGTGGATGTCTAGAAAGTAAAGAGCAGCTTAAGCCACATAGATTAATCAATGGAATTTATGCCTGTTCATATTTCCTCAGAGCGAGCTGGCAGCGGCAACCCATAATGCTTTGCAAGTGATTTAATCAGAGGCTGGAGCTGTGGAAATGGCGTTATTATGTTGATCATGATCAGTTTTGTTTCCCTCACTGCCACAATTCAAATAAGGAGGCCCAGTGAGCCAAACAGCAAACACAATAAGCCCTTTGTGTGAGGCCAGGGGCTCCCGATGTTATTTTTAAGGAGGTTCAGTTCTGCTGAAAAAGAAACCAAGATAAATGTGATTTTCTATGAATACTGGGCAGCATAAAAAAAATGTTTCTTGTATTTTAAAGCTGCTGTGAGGAAATTGAACTAGCATTGATTTTGGCAGCATCTGTGTGCTAAGATGAATGCTGTATCACTAATCTGACTCTGTCCTATCGAACCCAAGGTCATTTTTTCTGGCAAAAAAAAAAAAATCTTAAACTGGAATCTTCAATTTCCAAACCTGTCAATCATGTTGGATGTCTGCTTGAAAAAATGTAAAGGAAAGCTATTTCTTTATCATGCTGTCCAACATCTGCTCTGTCACCTGTTTCCTCACAGCAGTTTCGAGCAAATTTCAATCTGTCTCACACACAGTGGAAAAAAAAACCCTTACAGGAGCTTTAATGTTTAACTGGCTTCAAAAGCTGAAACTAAAGATTATTGAACACAAGGAGCATTTGTTTCATATTTTATAGAGATAACTTTATGCTTCCCCACAATAGAATATTGAGTAATTGGATTAAATTAAAGAATATCTTTGGGTATTTTCTGTGATAAGCATCTAAAATTATTATTTTTTTGTGTAGCTTTAGGTGGAGTTAAGGCTTCAAACAACAAAATTATATTTTTTTGAACAGATTTTACACCCGATTCCCAAACTGTCAAATAATTATGTCCGATAGTTTTAAAAATTGCTCAACACAAATATCCTGGAGCCAAAAATACACTTAGACTGGGTTCATTTGTCAAATGAATGGATAAAATCCCAACTCAGGCTCTGTATGTGATTTTAATTGGACTTGTTTTATTACCATTCAGCCACACAAACAAATCTGATAGTTTTGCACTCTCAGTCTGTTAGGTTGTGGAAAAGGATACGTTTGTAATCCTTTGTTGATGAATTACTGTTAAAGGTTCAGTGGAGAACTTTTGGTTTGTGTCAGTTTTGGCGCCCCCCTGTGGCCAAACAACCTTTGCTAATTTTGTCCTAAACATGCTCCGGTAGTGTCCTCTGATACTGCTAAACCTCAATCTTTCTAACTCTGGCAGTTGGATGGATAAAAAATTGAAAACTTTTGTGTATCTCTAGAGATGTCAAGAAACTTCTCACAGTAGCTTTATGTTCATCATCCATTGACCTCTATGGAGGGTCTTAAACCTCCAGCTTGTGTATATTTGTGAGCAATAATATTTAACTACCCACTGAAGCTCGAATCCTGACTCATCTCTGTATAATCCCCCTCTATCCAACTGTAAATCCAGGGGTGCAGCCACTAACACATCCTGTGCTTTTAAACTGGTGACGCTGCGTACCCTCCTATATGTGTTTGCTCCTGTTTAGTGAGCTAATAATTTACATTTCTGAAAGGGTCCCTGAAGCCCTCCCGAAAAATATTACAAGAGGCACGCCCGGAGCGAGTCTGGGGGATACAAAAGACACCAAGAAAACAGAACAGTCGAGACCATGCAGAAAGTGAAAGATCCATTTCTAAGCTCCTGTGTCGGCAAGAATCTTCCCCACAAGCTGCTGGATGCTGCTCTTTAGCTGAGGCTGCACAGTGACGGCCCACTGAGACACTCTGCTTATTGGAGATCAATAAAATATCACTTTAAAGCTGAAATCCTTAACTCTCTGCATGTTCAACGGCAGCAGCAATTTAGTACTCACTGTCCAACACATGAAGCTGTTTCACTTTATCACGGTTGGCAAGCGGTTTAATTGTCACATCAGAGCAGCTAAAAACACATGTATCCTTTACAGAGGTGATTAATTCGTTAGGGAGATATGGTATGTCTGCACTTCTCTGCAGCAGATTGACGCTACCGCTTAAAAAACAGATTTAAATATTCTGGATGATCAGGGTGTTGAAAGGCTGAGCTGTAATTGGTTGAAAACAAAAACTGTCAAAAAAGATGGACAACAAGTATCCACCCTCTCCTACTGTACATATCTACTGTAAGGCTTCTATTTTTGCCAGATGCCGGAGCACAGCGCATCAGTTCAGTGCAGCGCAGCACGAGCAGCAGCGGAAGTTGTATGCGGTTACAGAGTAAAATATTCGGTTAATTTTCAAAATAAAATAAAGTCAATACATTGAACTGTTGTTAACTTGATAATAGGAGAGGCCAGAGTTGTGGGATGTGGGTGTTTATATACACTGATCGGCGGATCTCACTCTATGACTCCCGGGGAAACACGCAAGAGCTCGTGAGATCTCGTCCAGTTTCGCAAAAAATATCGGTAATCTCGCGAGCGCTTCTCCTCCGACGGCAGATCGGATGTAGGATTGCGGATCTGATCCGCCTGCCGGTCTGGAATGGAGCGGAGCTGTTCCGGATCCTGTGGGTTTAGCCAGTAAGGCACACCGAATTGTAAGGCGAATTAAGCATTGATTGTTGCTAGCGCGTACTCCGGGCCCCCGGCTGCTTTACATGAATGCACTTCTAGTTTAGACATTACAGTCAGGCAGTCTTGTAGACAGCTCAGGGGTCCTGTTATCGGGCTGATCAAGTAGTGACACAGTGTACCGTAATGCTCCGAATATCCATTAAGCAGAGCCATTGGCTTGTTTACTAAAGTCGTACTTATGCATTTCGACAGATTTTGAGCGCATTGTACCACATAAAATCAGTCAGTAAGCACAACAAGTAATCATATATATGACGCACTGTCAATTTTTGAGAAAGTTTAAGGATTTTTAGTGCGCCTTATAGTCTGAAATATACGGTATACTGCAGCTGGTCAGGAGAGCAGCTCCAGTTTGTATTTGGTTTTACTTTTGGAGGAGCTTTTATGTCGTCTGTCTTTTTAAACAATTCAGACTTATAACCCGATGTTATTTAGAGTGGCTGCAGAAGGTAATTACTATAAAAGTGTCCTTGAGCGTGGCAGAAATATATATTCTGTGTGATACTCGAGAGCCGCACAGGAAATCTCTTTGGACTGTAAATGTAAAACAACTATGATTGCAAAGCTTCCTTTGAATGAATGAACACATATAGATATATGGCTGTTTTTTCCAGTGGGGGTCTCAAGGTTAAAGTGCTGAGAAAGAAGCTGTATGGAGGATTTTAGAGGAAACGGTAAATATAAAAAGGTTATGTTCCTCACTTTCTCTGCAGCGGGAGTGGACAGAGGTTATGGAGGAAACTGCTGGATGTCTCCCAGCGGCCTAATAGCGTCAGAGAGGAGTTGCAGCGTTTGCCTCTTCCCACAAACTTGCTCAGCACTTGTTTCTCCCCCAATCCTCCATTTTGGATCGAAACGTTGTAAAGTGGGCCGTTAATTGCGGCGTTAACTCAATCAGGGGTGACTCACAGGAGATATTGTGCTTTAGTGTGTGTGTACTTGCGCGTCCGATTGTTGTCTGTGTCTTTTGCGTGAACGAGTAATGAGTTTTGGTGCTGAGGTACGGAGAAAAACAGCCGAGCCCAGCGCGTCCCTGCTGGGGGACCGGATCAGAGGAGTCTCGTCGGTAGTAAACAGATGATTGGTGAATGGCATTTTAGTCTCCCTGTTTCACACACGGGTAGTTGATCCTCCTGATGAGACTGATGTTGATTACCCCAGAGAGAGTGCATTTAAGGTTATTAATGAGGATTACATGCTGACCTCATCTATACTCAGAGAAGTTTCTGCAAGTATGAGGAAACGCAGCCAGACTGTGATGCTGTAGCAGTATACAGGAGGTAGAAGTTTTTACACAGTAACTGAAGTTAAAGTTTGATGAACTAATCCGTCATGGCAGCCATTTTTTAAAGCAATAATGACTCAAACAGAGATAGCACAGACGGTTAAGACGCATAGATTATTTACTATATAGTCTGGAGTGGATGTGATAGTACAAGTGCATTATTTAAATTAAAACCCAGGCTGGATTTGAGTCAAATCCTGATCATATACTAAAAGCAGAGAGCGAACAATTCCTCTGATATCTTCATTATAATGTTGTTCCTCTGAGTTCCTGGGTGCAGTGTTTTAAATTCAGGGACTCTGAGGCCTCTTTTAAATAGATCGTGAACATAAGAGGGGATCGGAGAGGACGCCGTCAGACATTTATGACCGTCCTGTAGCTACACGCTGTAACGGCTGAGGCTTCAACCTTTGCTAGTTAACATTACCATTCACTTACTTAAACATTAGCTAGCTTATATCAACGTAAGCTAGCAATTTATCCCTTTTTTTAGTTGTCTTGTAATCCTGTCATATCATAACATTAACATTCAGACACTCATGTTCTCCTGGGAGTCATTCTTCTGACTTTGCTACATTCATATGTTCAGTTCATAAAGTTGGAGTTTACATTACCTTACTCTTTGAACAAGGTCTAATAATGCTTAGATATTGCTTTAGCTAACATAGCTAACTTGTCATTAAATGTAAAGTATCATACTTATGTTAATATCTAGGTTTTCTGAAGAGACTAGGTCACTTTTTATGGTACGTTTACATTTTCAGTTCATAAAGTTGGATGTAACATAACCTTACTCTCTGAACAAGGACTATAATGCTATAACTTTGCTTTAGCTAACATAGCTAATTTGTTATTGAAGGTAAATTATCACATCTAACTTTTCTGAAGAAACTAGGTCACTTTTTGTGGACAGTAGATATTTATAACACCGTGTTATGGTATATTTTGGAGCAATATGTGAATTACTAAAAAGTTACCTAACATTTGTGAAAGTTTGTTGTCTAATAAGTCATTGTTGCTCTTACTTGAGTGTTTTTTCCGACTCAGAGAGTTGCTTTTCCGATGTGTCTGACTATAATAATAAAGGCAGCTTGAATCTAAAGTTAGCATGAGTAGAAAAAGGGTCTCAGTCAAACCCTGTAATCTAACTTGGACATTTCTTTGAACCTGTCTGGAGGATAATAAACTTTGATGGCTGGGGCACAGCTGAAGAAAGAGAGGCTTAGAGCTGAAAAGCAAAATGTTGCAGAAACCTTGCCCCGAGTGGTTCTTACCTCCACATCTTCCATTACTCCTGATAATAGACACCCAGTAGTGCATTACCTTGTACTCTTACCTTGCTGATTTTGACAGAGAAAACTTTGTTCATTAGCTGTTAGTAGATGATGAAGCACACAAAGAAAGTTCGAGAACAAATCTTTAGTTATTTTTTCAGAAGAAAATTGAATTTCAAAAGGAGAATGTGAAAGAAGGGAAGGGTTAGAAGTTGTCTAAGTGTAAGATGGAGTAAAAACACTTTTCTTTAAGGAAGCCATTTTCCCATTGTGCACCCTCTACGTTATTTGAGTCCATCAAAGTGCGCCTCTAACAGCTGATACAGCTGTGATTTAACTCTACACAGTCTTTCTACCAGTGGATAAACCAGAGAGGAGACTTTTCACCTCAGTTGGAGGCCATTACTGTCGTTCTCTACAGAAAAATTTGGACTATGTTTGTCAAAAGCAACAACTTGTCCCTTCCAGCTGTTTCTAAAGGATTGTTGAGAACTGTCGGAGCCTGTGGCACTAAAGTAGGGCGAACCTGCAGCAGAACAAACAACACTAACTTCAGAGCACCTTGGTGGGTTTAGACTTTTCATTTCCATTCATGTCAGTGGAAAAATAAAAACGAATACAATTGCACTGGTGTTATTTTCCTTGAAAGGCAGCTGTGCTCATGCTTCTGCTGTCACTTTGATGCAACCTGGCAGAATTATTATCCAGAAAAATGTTGGAGGACGTGGACTTGCTTTAGTTTTACGCTCTGTGAAGCAAAGAAGAATTGATTGACATTACTCATGTGGAAAAATATATCTGGATCTTGTTTTTTATTCCTCTATATTTTTGTACAAACACATTATTCTTTGTGGGTCTCATTTTCACTGCAGGAGTGACAGATTTTCTATTGCTCTGTTCCTGTCCACTGTATATTTTAAGTATCTTTAGCGTTAGCCGGCTGTTGTTATTTATTGATACGGGCAGTATTCTCCAAAGAGTCTTTTTAGCGCAGATGTGAAAGGTGCAGCGCTGCTATCTTTGTCTCAGTCTTCCTTGCTCGTTCTCTCTCTCTCTCTCTCTCTCTCTCTCTCTCTCTCTCTCTCTCTCTCTCTTTCTCCTGGCAGTCTTCACCAGCTTGTGCAGCCTTTACTAACTAGCCATGCTCTCTGCGCAAATGATGATGAGACAGCAAAACCAGAAGAGACAATGCACAGCAGAAAATGAGGAAAGAGAGTTTAGGAGAGAGAGAGAGAGAGAGAGAGCTGCAGAAAAAGAAGAGAGAATGAGATCCATCAGTCTTTTTTATGCACTTTTACCACATATATGCTCCTCCCCAGGGAGCACTATGTCTCTGTCTAGACCACGACCCTCTCCTCTCTGTGCCATTTTTTCTTTGTTGTCATCATCCAGTGCATTTTCCTCCCTATCTCCCTCTCCCCTCGTCGCCTCCCACCACCTTCAGTTATTAAATCTCCTCTCACCCTCTTCTTCCTCTGTTTCTCCTCCCTTCCTCTCCCCCTCTTTCTCTTCTCCTCTGCCCTGCAACCTTTCTGTCTTGTGCCACTAAGTGTTCTTATATAACAGCTAGCACCTAGAGGGACTTCTCTCACCCACCCACCCACCCACCCAGCCTCCTCCTCCTCCTCCTCCTCCTCCTCCTCTTACTCCACCCTTTTAGCCTCCTGTTTTTTCTCCCTCTTCTACACCTTCTCATCTCCCCCCACAGTCATTTTTCCTCCTCTCCACTTTCTTCTTGCTGACTTCACTTTTAGAAACAAATGGTTCTGCTGTGTAATTCTTCCACAAATAATTAAACTCAAAAGTCATCACAAACTATTCTGATTCACGATTAACCGCTTCAGATGTTTTTCAAGCAGGAGATTTCAGACATCAGACTTTTGCTAGTTGTGGATTTTTCAGTGTCACCAACTGTTTTTCTCGTCTTCATCTTTGGTAGAGTTTAATGATTTTAAGAGGAAATCTTTGAGTTTTGCACTGATGGTGGAATCATGAAAGAGGCAATTTTAAGATGTTCATTCAGACCAAGTGGGCAAGAGGGCAAACAAAGAAGTGAGTAAATGCATATATACCGTATTTTTCACACTATAAGGCGCACAACCGATGAAGTGTCTATTCGCGTCTATTTTCATACATAAGGCGCACCAGATTATAAGGTGCATTAGGCCAACCAAAACAGTCAGATAAGTCAAACTTTATTTAACTAATTCAATAACTCTGCGAGGCTACGGTAGCTGCAGTGCTCCGACAAGCCAAAAGGATTTTAAGTGCGCCTTATAGTGCGAAAAATACGGTACATGCATATTAGTGGTGGGAATCACCAGTGACATGATGATACAATATTATCACTTGATACTTGGGCCACGATATGATATTATTGTGATTTTTAACATTTTGCAATACAGTGAGTATTTCGATACAATATATTGCAATTTATACAATTATTTCAACTGTTAAGCTAATTTAGTATTTGTCTTTCCTTTTATATTTGTCTTATTTACACTGACATTTTTTTATTTTATTTTTATGTAGCACATCTTGAAACCTTGTGTCAGGTCCCTCGCACTTGGGCCCTGTTTGCATTCCTAATGTCTTTCCCCAGGCGCTGCCGTGTTTGTTGAACTAACTTTCTCCTTCGCCAACCTCACTGGAAAAAACAGTTGACTGTATTTTTTCCATTATCCCAGATTTGACTTCATATTCACAATTAATTGGAAAAAATCGATACTTTGTAGATGAGACGATATGATATATCACCGGACAAAATATTGCAATACTATGCTGTATCAATTTTTTTCTCCCACCCCTAATGCATATATATATATATATATATATATATATATATATATATACATACATGTGTGTTTCTGTACACAAACATAAAGAAATTTTTCTCCTTGGAAGCAGCCACCCTGCAACACAACACAGAACTACTTTCATATGCTTTTTATTATTTAGCCAGTTGCTGCATCAAGTCAACCTGGTGGAAGACAGAGTAGAAGAGAGTGTTTTTTTGTGTGTCTGTGCACTAGATTTTGTATTAATAGACGTTTTTGGTGGGAAAAAAAATCCCACTTATAAAACCATCACAGGAGCTTAATGTCCTATAAGACCACCATCACATTACCACCAGGAAAGGTGAGCAATGGAGTCTTTGGGCTCTATTTTCGTGCCCGACGGCGGCGTGGTGGAGGCAGGCGGACCCTGCGCAGTGGTATTTCCGTCTGGCGGAGCCCAGCATACAGCCAGTTTGATATTTTCGTAGACTGAGGCACAAAAATAGAGCCCTTTGAGTTGAGCCTCTGAGCAGCAGATGTTAATACCTCCATGTCCACACACCGCACCTTTACCTCTAATAGATTTCTTGACAAACTAAGTGTCCAAGATTAAACTCCTCACCTCTGTAGAGTACATTAAGAGTATTAGTCTCTGTGATTTTGAAGTTATCTACTCTACAAAAAGGATAGTTTCCAAATGTCCTGTTTGCTTCTTTTTCATGTTTCCTCGGTTATAGCAAGATTGATTATGGGGGGAAATTGGACTGTGATTTGAAAGGAACACGCTATCTTGAAAACTAACAGTAGTCTGTGCCATAATTTAAAGCTCATTTTTCACCACTCTTGACATTATATAGACTCAGAGATCGTAATGTACACAAAACAAGTTGTCCATTTCAGCAGCACGTTTTATTTTCTATCTCTCCTTTAAAAAAAAAAACAACAGCAGCAGTAGCAGCATCACTCATTTTTATCAGCACTGTGTCAGTAGTACCCGGCAGCCTTTTATCCAAAAATACTATTGGCTGCTCAAACACAGACACACACACACACACAGAGGCTCTTCTTTTGCTCTTGCTTCCTTACATCCAGTTCCTCTTGCATGCCGACATCCTCTCACCTATTTCTCAATGACTGCATCACTCTCCTACTTTTTACACCCCGCTCGCGTCCGGGATTCTCCTCATCGCGTGTTTTCATATTCAGCACAGCCTCTTCCTCCTCCTTTCATCTTGACTCTATCTACTTACCATTCTCTCCATCCCACAGCCATTGTACCTCTCTCCCCCCCATCTCAAACTTCTCTTCCCCTCCTCTTCCCTCCCCCTCCAAAGCCTCACCCCCTTTCTCTAAATATAGTCCCTTTGAAGCAGAGCTGTGTTGTCTCTTTCTGCAACACTGCGAGACAAAAGTCTGTCATCTCACATCTGAGCGGGTAGAAGAGAAAAGCACAGATAAGATTGATGGCCCAAAAAGAAACACCGGTTAAGAGAATTGATATTCATCTGCCTGCGCGTGGGTGTGTAAATGAGGAGAAGGGGGTGGGAGATGAAAAGGGAGGAGAGGAGAGGACCCAGAAAGAAAAGGAGCAGGAGAGGAAGATGGCGAGACAGAAAGAAGGAGGTAGAAGAAAGAGAGAGAGAGGTGCCGTGACATTTCTGATCCACATTTTGTAATTGAATAATAATCTCTCTGGAGGCCTGACCTAGTAATGTATGCACGTGTGCGCATGTTTGTGTGTGCGTGCCTAAAGCTGTGTGTGTGTTTGCACGATGTATACACAGTGAGGGATGGTTGAGAGTGTGTAGCAGAAAATGTGCAAGGAAGAGGAGACAGCCAGGAGGGGAAAAAAAGGAGAAAAAGAAAAGAAAAGAGAACGAGAGAGGAGGTTTGCTTTTTTGACAGGAAGTGCAATAGGTCCCCCTAGTGGTATAAAGGAGTAATTACAGCTCAGGTTGGTCACACGTCACTGCAGCCAAGAACAATTCCCATCTCATCAGCTCACCTGCAGGAGCCCCTCTAATCACTTCTACTTTGTCTAATTACAGATTGTGTCATTAACATAATAAGTATACTTAGTGTTATAAACAGCTAAGATCACAGCATGAGAGCTGAACAAGAAATCAAACCGCACCAATGCCTCAGTGGTTCAATAAATCAGCTGACGGGTTACCGTATGTCTCTCTCTCACACACGCACACACGCATACTGAAAAACAGACAACCTTAAAGTGGCCTTCCTAACAACCTCGTCCATCAGTGTTGGTTGCCATGGGAGCTGGGCCCATCATATGCACCACGTGCAGGCCGGTTCCCCTTGCGGCCGGAGCGATACATCGCCCCTGACAGGAACTCCTTCCGCCTCAGTGACCCGGCCCGTAGCTGGCTCAGGGGGAGAGACAGGAGTGCAGATTATCATTCTCAGCAGCGTCCTCAGCACTCACCAAGGGGCATTTAGTGGGAAAATGTGTTTTTTTTTTCTATGCAGAGGAGTGAGAAGGTGTAGTAGTTTCTCTCTTGGAGAACAGATGGTGTCAATGCACACCGAGGGAGAGGTCCAGAGTTCCCCGGCTTCTTTTTAGTGTTACTTTTATGATGAAGAAAGTGGTGAAGTGAGCAGATAAGAATTTAATAATCATTTTGATGAATTGATTCAAGTTAAAGCTCCTGTGAAGAGTTTTGAACTGGTTATTAAACACACCAGGATTAATATAAACGCTTCAATTTGACCTTCTGAAGCAAATGGCACCCTGACTACCATAAAATTTGTTGTATAAGAGACGCTTTTAATACCATTTACATCATCTAAAAAGTGAGTTGCATCCTAATACAAGTGTGACCTATACTGGTATAAGCTACAGAGAGTAGTATCGTGTTGTTTGTTGTGTAGCAAGCAACCACTTCGATGAAATACACCACTCACACAACTTTTGAATGATTTTTTGCCACATTAGAAAACAGCAGCATACAATAAAGTGAGTCTGGTCCACGGCTGGTTTGATTTAAATGACTCTAAGACAAGAAGTGACCAGTAGAGGGTCTGAACTACCTCACAACACTAACCGCTCCTAAAATCCGAGCTAGCAGGGTGATAAAAACAGAAGCTAGCAGCTAGAAGGATTGGCATAGAAACAGCTGTGCAATGGAGGCCTCTAACAGGAACACAGTTTGAACCCCCTCCAAAAGACCAGACTGTATCATATACCAGTGGGACTTATATTCTACGGTATTCCTATATATGTCTCTTTTTATTGTCTGAAAACACTGCCAAAGGGTAGGTTTTAGATGAAGTGCCCATTAGTAAAACAACCATTCTGTTACTCTCTATAGCAAAACATATGTTAATTAGTGCAAACAAATAGTTTGACGGTTTATAAATCATTTTAAGTTTATTTTTTAGTTTGAAATGGTGCAAAGACAACAGATGAAACTGAAAAAGAAAAATGTTGTTTGATGAAAATTATATGCACTTTGATGCCAGCAACATAAAGTGACTTTTAAAACCTACTGGAGATATTATTGTTAAAAGATTTAGAGAATCTGGAAGAATCCTTGTACAAAAGAGACAAGGCTAATAACTGATACTGAATAGCAGTTAGGGCTGGACGATAAACTGAAAATTTACCGATACTGAAATTTACGACTATAACCAACATCATCTTGTCCATATTGGTATATTCGGTGTCAAAAAAAATAAATAAAAGTTGGTTTTGGATGTGTGTAGGTAGGCCATGGTCTCGTGTCCCCACATCAGAGACGTACTCCACCCCATCCAGTCTGTATCAAAGAGGGAAAAACAGGTGAGGAGATGGAGGACAGTTCAAAAGTTGTAGTGGCTGGAGCGGCTGCTGAAGTATATGAGGTTAATGTGGGAGGGGGTGAGCAGTTTGTGGAGTAGTTACCGTCCATTTACCGTTATCGAGGTGAACTGCTCAATATATCATGATCTTGATTTGAGGCCATCTCACCCAGCCCTAATAGCAGCGATCTTAGGTCTGTAAAAACAGACATGACTCTGCGGTGGGAGTCACAGCATGGGCTCAGAAGCCCAACCAAAATCCATTTTCTGCAGACAGCTGTTAGATGTTGTTTGACTGTAATATATTGGAATAAAAAAAGTTTGTGTTTTATTTCAGGTTATGTGCAGGGCTCCTTCTTGTCTGGAGAAAGTAATGTCTGAAGTCTGGTTGCCTGGCAACCTCACGCTCAAAATGTCACACAGTTGCTTTTAACAGAGAAACAAAACAAGGTGTTTTTTTTCTTCTTCTCTGGTTACTTATCTACATCTCTGTCTGTCGTTCTTTCTCCCCCCTCCTCCTCTCTCTCTTCTCTTCCTGTCTGTGTTTTTGATCCAGGTTGCGGAGGGAAGGCTACACAGTGCAGGTCAGTGTCAATGACTACCTGGACATCTACTGCCCACACTACAACACAAGCCAGCGGGGGACACTAGAACGCACCGTGGCTGAGCAGTACATCCTCTACATGGTCAGCTACCGCGGCTACCGCACCTGCGACCCTCAGCTGGGCTTCAAACGCTGGGAGTGCAACCGGCCCCACGCACCGCACGCTCCCATCAAGTTCTCCGAGAAGTTCCAGCGGTACAGCGCCTTCTCACTGGGCTACGAGTTCAACGTGGGCCAGGAGTACTACTATATCTGTGAGTGGGGGCCAGTAAACAGCCTGAGGAAGCTTCACATCCAATATTTGAATATCGTCTCCTCGGCTGCTGTCACCCACTCATATTGACAATGTGTGGGTGTTGCTAATAGATTCTTGAGGTTCAGCCGAGGACAGGCGGTTGCTCTGATTGCTGAGGGTGTAGTGGCCTGCAGAGGGCACAAGGTTGACATAACGTGTATGTGTGTGTGTCTGTGTTTCAGCCACGCCTACCCACCACCACGGCCACAGCTGCCTGAGACTGCGAGTCTTTGTCTGCTGCTCCACTGGTGAGACCAAACAACCCTCCTCCACTCATTTCTATCCCTCTGTGACACTTCATCTACACTTTCCCTCCCCACTCACATCTCTTTCTATCGCCCAAACAAACAAACAAAGAGGCAGAGAGACGCAGACAGAGAGGCAGAGGCACAAAGATCTGACTGTCTTGTCGCAGAAAAGAGGCTTTTCCGCCTGCGTGCCGTCTTGGCGAGATTCTGATGATGGCGTCTTTTTCCCTGGAAGCAGCTTCTTAATGTTAGCCATTATAGTAATGCTCTCTCCCTCTCTTCCTGTGAGTGATGCGCTCTTGAACCTGTACGAAAAGATATAAAACAAGAAAATTCTGCAGGATCCTCTCTCTCTCTCTTTCGCTCTCTCTGTCACTTTCCATCCCTCTCTCTCCCACTGTCTCCCCCCTTTCTCTTCCTCCCTGGCTCTCTTCTGAAGCCTGCTGCTCCGTGTAGTGTGTGTGTTATTTTTACCCTGCTCTCTCCCCTGCAGGCCTTTGATCAGGCAGCCCAGCGCTGAAAGCCTCCCCCCCTTCCCTCTCTCCTCTAACCTTGTCAGCACTAATACATCCCACACTCAGGCCAATGTCAGTCCCTGTGTACACATCACCTTAACACCCCCCACCCCTGTCCCGGTGTCACGCCTAATCTATTGATGTGTCTACCATGCCAGCGTTCGCTCCCAGATGCAAGAGTTTGACCATGTGTGTGTTAGTGCACATGGTTGTATGTCAGCTATAAATCTTTTCAACTTGAGCGTGTGTGTGTGTGTCTTTGTGTGGATGAATGGGCATGTGTGCATTGGTGTATTTCGTCCGTTTACAATCCACAACCTTTACCCAGCAAGGTCATCTTAACAGCTTGCTATCAGAGAGCTGTTGACTCCAGCCGCCTCCACACCGTTTTCATCTTCTCTGTGTGTGTGTGTGTGTGTGTGTGTGTGTCGCCCACCTTAGATTAAGAGACCTGAAGAGAAGAAATAGATGTGAATATTCATGCCATATGCTTTTCATCTTTTACTACTTCCTTCACAAATACGCTTTCGCATCCTCGTTACTGTGCGACAGAATCACGGACACATATATTTAAAATGACAAAAAAGCAAAGTATGCACATCTACAAACCCACATATCTATCATTTGTCAGTAATTTGGCTTCGCAGACTGGATGTAATTCAGTGTCTAGACGACAAAATTGAAAAAATGATTTCTGTCCAACGTTTCCAAATGCTTTTAATCACCAGAGGGAAGTCTGGATCCTCAGTCCAGCACTCTGCTTTTATTCTAATTTACATTTACATAGTGACTAACCACAGGTTTTTAAACAGTAACAAGACACTGTAATCTCACGGTACAACACATAAACAACAGAGGATTAAATACATAAACAAATCATAGACATTGAATAAGATGAAACAAATAAGTGGCATAATTTCCAATACATATTCAGCGCAAAAGGCTGTTTATTTTACACAGTCTAAGTACTGTAATTCCAATTCATGGATTGTATAAACACAGATATAGTCACAGTGGCTCACTTTTTAAAGAGGCATAATACTTTCTTAAACTCACTTTTAATCAGTCTAAAACAAGTACAGACGACTTAGCAAACACCTTATAAAACTCATTTATTAATCAGTTCTAACCTGTGCAGTGTGGAAATAAAGGAATAGACCATATGAATCATTTTTTCTTAATCTAACAAGACTTTGAATATGTTGAAACCTGCGTTAAAACTTGGCATTTTCACATAAGACCCAATAGGACTTCCTTGTTTAACACAAGACTGAGCCAATGTGGAGGAGCATGAACTATAGATCCTTAAGTGTTCACTTAGGACTGGATCCAAAAGGCCAGGAGAGCCAAAAACACAACCAGATGAAAATTCTACTTTTTACAGCAGAATTTCACATTTACAGCCTGTTTCTGTCTGAATTTCCCATCTCCTTGTTTTCACACACTGTCCAGGTGTTATCAGTTTGACTTGTATACTCATAATTAGATGTGTGACCGGTTTAACAGAGAGGCTGGTGCATTTTATCTGTTAGCCAAGAGGTTACAGGTCCACCTCAACTCCACCTCTCAGACAGAAATTATCCTGAGTCAGCGTTTTCAATATGGCAGCTGTCGGGCATCAAAGCTTCCCTTCAGAAAATAACATGTGGTGTCACTGCAACAGTACGGATATTTTATTCAGTCTATGATTTTAACTTGAGGCCTGATGGGGTGTCCTCAGCTAATGCAGCCAGCCTCTAGTGGACACTCAACGAACTGCAGATTTTCCTCTTCTTGGCCCTCCAAAAGTTTCACTTTGGTCCAGTTAGGGTTTAAAGTTGGATTTAAACATTTGCATCTGTCTTATGGAGATTTTCTGCTTCCCTTCCCGTGTTTTTCCTCATCTGTTCATATTTTTTAGCTGCTAAAATGCCCATTTTGTTTGACTTTCCTCTTTCTCTCCCTCTGTGTTTGTCTTGTCGTCTCTTCTTTCCCTCCTCCCTCTCCTTTCCTTCCTTCTGTCTTTGTCTGTTTACGTGTTGTGTTTCTCAGTTTCCCAGGCAGATGATGACTCCAGTCAGACTCCTCCTGACTACACAGTCAGGCCAAACCTGAAAATACACAACATCGGTGAGTGAGGCTGAGCTGCTGCTGAAAGAGAACAACAGCCAGTCGCCAGATGCTGGTCAATATTTGGCTGCGGCTGCAGAGTATGATTTGTGTACCAATCATTGTGGAAAAGAACCAGCCATTTGTTAGTTTTTTCTTAAATTCTATGGTTGGCAAAAGGAAATCCCCAGACTGAAGCCGGTTGATGAGTAAAACATTATTTTCAGCTCTTGAGAGTTGTGCAATTCGGGGAAGACTGTAAACACTGCGACTTGATTCAGCAACAGTGACACACATTTAGTATTTACACCATTCAACCCAGTGACCCCCTTTAACCCCCCTCAGCTTTGTAAGGTAAACCAGTTTCAGTTAATGTGTCTTATCTATCAGTGATGATAAATTTAGACATACCAAAGTGGTAAAACCGCACAGACAATATGCTGGAATGATATTGGCCCAGATACTGACCTCATTACACAGTTCATTTGTCTGTGTCATTATGAAATTAAATGTTTCCTTAGTGACATTAATTCAGTGGTGACAGCACATTAACTCAGTTTTATGACCACAGCAGTACCTGGCCTCATGTTTCCTTATAGTGAAGTTATTTTAATCGTTTGCACACAGTGGACAAATATGCAGAACTCAAAAAGTATGAAGCAGATTCAATATTCAGTATCACAGAGTGCAAATTGATGGAACTTTTATTTGTGTAGATTTTGGTGTTTTATCTTATCGTGGTGGAATGATGACTATGTTATGTCAAAACTTTAGCACATCTAGTTAATGAAAACAAATAAAATTCATCCAGGACCACTTTTGCAAAAAACAAACAATTTATTACTTGCATGTATTATTTGTATTATGACAGTGGAAACAGCAAGAAAAGTAAGGTTAAAGCAGTTCAATTAAACGCCCATTATAATATTTGCCAGTTAGATTAGGGTGACCAAATGTCCTGTTTTTACGTCCTGTCCTGGTTTTTTTCCATAGAGTGATAAAAGTGTCCTAGTGTCTGTTGTTTTTCAGTGGGCCACTATGGATGAAGGAGAAAGCTCAAGATATAAAATAATTTATTTCTGGACCAAGTCCTGGTTTTTGTTTTCGGTCATCAAATTATGGTCACCCTAAATTAGATGCCAGGAAGGTTTTCAGCTGAGCAGTCACCTAAACATGTATTTTTTTTTTTTTTTTGTGATAGAAACAAAAATGTGCATCAAATACCTCTGGAGCCGCTGAGAAAATGCCTAGAAATTGTCATGTCTGCTGAAACAAAGAGTTAACTTAAAAGCTTTTATCTGTATCTCCATATCAAAGTGTGACATTTTTAAAGTAAGGAGTCCAAACATCAAAGGTTGTCATTAACATCCACTTAAGACAGCTATCTTATCTCAAAGGCAGGTGGTTTGACCCCACCCTGCTGCCATCATCATATCGCTGAACATGTTCTGTACATGCAGGCGTGATAAACACAAAAGAAAGAAAAAATCCTCACTGTAAACTATGAGGAAACAGGCGTACTAACAGAACTAATCATGGTCTGGTTTGCTCTATAGAGCACATAGAGGTATCGCACACCGCTATGTTTTGAAGGTATCAGGATCGGCATCAAGGGGAAAAAGGTTTAGTTAAAAAAATCATGAAATTTTCAAGTGTCAGATCTTCGTGATGGTCAAGAACCATTTTCCTATATGTTGATAAAAATCCCTGTTTTAGGAGAAATTACAGTACATCAGCACAGTTGTCTGTAAACTTAAATGAGTGTATAAAATGGAAAGTCGGGTTTAATTTATACAGTTTGTCTTAGTTTTTATCTGTGTTGCCTCAATACCTAACTGAACACTTTTAGGGGGATTAATTATTGGCAATATCTGTACCTAAAATCATGACTAAATGTTGAAAAGTAGATCAAAACTTCAACTTATTGCCCTTAAATGTCCCCCTGTCTTACACACAAACACACACATCTTCACGCAGGTAAAACCAAACGAAAATCCTCCGTGCAAAATCTCACAGGGTCAGCAGAGGTCTTGTAAGGAATGAAAGATCCGTGTTTACCTTAGGAGAAAGCATGTCAGCTGGGGACTCAACTGTGCAGCTGAGTGGTTACATAAACCCTCTATTTTTTCTCTCTTTTTTTTACTCTCCATTCTCATCTCAAACAAAAAGCCTCTTTCCGGGGAACCATTTAGCATGCTTGTGTGTCTGGGAGCTGTGGGCAGCCTGTGACGAGGGGCTAAGAGAGTGTGACCTGACCAAGATGGAAACTGAGACCAGAGGAGGCAGAGCGAAGAGAGCTCTTCAGCCATCAGTACTGAGTAACTTCAGGAGAGGGAGATAAAAGAGAGAAAGGAGGCAGAGAAAGAGAGATGCAGCAGCAGAAAGAGGGACAGGGAAAGAGAGAAACAGGCAGAGAAAGAGATAAAAACCAGAGTGGGGGCAGAAAAAAGGGGGGCAGGAAGAAAGAAAGGCTCAGTGGTGGGCGAATTGCTCAGCAGTAACTCCGGCTCGAGCTTATGTACAATTTAATATAAAAAAACACAAACTGGCAGGGAATCATAAAAAATCACAGCCTCCAGCGTTGTGATGCATTTTACTGAATACATTTGGAGGGATAACAAAATCAGGACACACAGATTTATGCACTCAAACAGACACACACACACTTTGAAACAAACCCATAGCACTGATGGCACATCTGACCGCTGGACACCCACTCCCTGACTCACCCTGAGGACCAGACCGGCCCACAGACTGGCTCGGCATCAACAAATCTCTGCCTTTCGCTCCACATATGTTTGGACTTGCTGTCAACCTTGTTCCATTATTATTAGCTCTGCTCCTACGTCACATTTTCCTTATTTAACACGGTGTCTTAAGGATAACTCCGGTCTGTTCCAACCACCATCTCTGCGGGGACAAATAAGGCTGTTTTCAGCAAGATAACCGCTGAAATACAGAACCACAGTGACAGACAAGACAAGAAACATGAGCAGCAAGATGTTTATACCGATTTCTGTGCAAATCCACAATTCAGGCAAATTCCTTCCAAGAAAAACTGAAGACAGAAAACAAGACTTGTTCACTACCTTGTCATCTTAGTCTTGTTTGAGCTTGTCTTTCTCGCCCAATTAGGAAGTGTGTCCAGCTTTCGTTCATCACTTTGGCAGGTCTGTTATGTAACATAAATAACAAGGATGAGCGCTAAGTTATGACTAGTGTTGTAGTCAAGACCACCTGAGCCAAGATCTAGTCACAAAGACAAAAAAATACTTGATTCTGTTTGGTTAAAAACTCATAACAATGGTGCTCACTAATGAAAAAGAAGAGCAACAACAGGTACAAACAGACCACATGTTGTTTTTGTTTAATCATTGACCAGTTTAAGTTGAGAAAAGAAGAAAAGAGGAGGAAAACAGTGTAGAAAAAACACCAAGGGATGTTGAAACACAGAAGGACCTGAGCGAACAAGACGTCCAAAATAAGTAAAACACCCAAAGTAACCTCAAACCTCAACATGGTGAGGGCACTGACTGTGTGAAATGAAGTCATAGGGAAGAAAACCTTATGCAGGTGCTGCTGTTATTCTCTGAATGTCAGTGGAAAAATTCCAGTGAACATGTTCAGTTTAGTGTGTTTTATAACAGCACAGAGGACTCAGACGTTAATAAACACGGTTCACTTGATTTTTGGTTTTAAAGTTTGGGTTTGTCGGCTAATGTTGAGATTTGAACGTGACTTAAATGTTGAGTTCAGTGTTAATTTGACTCATGAGGGCTATTTTCTTTTAAGCTACTTTAATTAAACAATAACACCCCATAGGAACAAAAGATAGTTTCTAATTGTTTGTATCCTCACCTGCTTGGAAAAGTCTTGTTTGACATGTTATCCACCATGCCTGTTTTTGCACTAAATCAATGTTATGTCATTAAATTTACTCAAACAGGCCAAACTCCTCCTCAGAATATACAAAAGTGGTGAACAAGTACAATAGTTAACCTTGTAGGAAAGACAAAACTCCATTTACGGAAAGAAAACTTGAGCAGAACCAGATTTATTTATGTGCAGCCATCAGCCTTGACTGGATGGACCCAGAATGAGAAAAGGAAAGAGACACAGATGAGAGAGATGGATGGATAAAAGTAAAAACACAGAAAATCATCCCTGAAGAGAATCATTTGCAGAGGGGAAATTTAATGCAAAGCAAATATGCATGTAAGTCCATCATGTTATCATGTTATCTCACAATGCACAGGCGATTCGGTGATATCTGCTCTTTTGAGGAATACGTAGTGAAGCCGTGGTCTGGATTTGTCCCACATACTCTTGAAAAAGACCTTCACAAAGTATAACCTTAAACTGTAATAACCCGGAATTATCCTTTGAGTGTGAACTGACTGGATGTGCCCTGTATTTGGAGGAGGATTTTTTACTTTCATTCCCTTTGCAGCACACCTCTGCACAGCTTGTCTGCTATCAACTTTAATATGTATTATGAATCGCAGAGATCCGTCATGGTGGAGGATTTTATAGCAAATGGGTCTCTTGCCACAAACTTGCTGTAAGAATTCAGCATCAGTCTTGCTGTTTATTGCTTGAATTAATCATAACTAGATTCCTGCAGCAAAAGCTCCTACGAATTCCTCCATCTGTGACAGACTCCCCTCACTCCTTCCTCCTGTATTGAGCGTTTGCAGCGGCAGAAAGGGATGAGAGGCTTAGACATAAATAATGTGTTGGACCAGGAAATACAACCACAAATCACTCTAGGAGGCATGAGTTGGCACTGGCAGGTTTGATTTACAATGAAGTACAAGAGCTTTATTGATCCCCAAAGGGAAATTTCATTTTTTAAGTGGTCTGATTGGCGTATAATGTGGACATTTCAATGTTTTACTTAATAAAGAACATTTTATTGCATCAATCAAATCAAAGTACTTTATCAGGGGATGCTTGTCTGTGCACCAAGTAACAAGATCTGAGAAATCTCAGTCCAGGACTACAGAACTACACTTGGTATAGACAGCTGCTCGTCTTTACGCCTACTGTCTCTGTGTTTTTGCATTTAAGTGTTGACCCACACGTACGTACATGGACATATTGCCCCGGTTAGATTAGCTAATCACCCATCACACTGTGACAACACCCCCCCACTGAGTTCTACAGCTACCACATGGTTCGGATCATCGCCTCATGTTCTTTATGCATCAGTGCGAGTCAACCACGGCTGGAGGATTTATCAGAGCAGACGACCTTTACCCACTCATCGACAGTCCACAGCCAATGTGTCTTATCTCACTGTAAACGCCTTGGGCAGTATACCGTGGACAGGAGAGCTGCCCTGCATGCTCGCCTGTTGTTGCACCCCAACCAGACAAGACTGAACTAGATTGTGTGCCGGGAAATTGATTGCTGTATCCCACAAATGCGCTGTGATGTTAGGTGTCCTACTGTGGACCTTTGATAACTTGTTATGGCCCAAGGCGTCAGACGTCCCCCACATTTATCTTCCAAGGGCGGCCTCTTTAAATAGCGGGGGTTTTGAAAAGGTGCATGTTGTGCAGCTTGGTGATTGTCAAAGCAGCTGGCACCCACAGACAGGACTGAGATCCGTGAAAGGACCAGTCCACATGTTGGAAATTGAAAAGTGCGTGTAGTTTCTTTTGAAAAAGTGAGGTGAATCTTGCTTCATCTGTTTGCTGTGTGATAGAGACTTTTACACAAACAAACCTGATGTTGTGAGGGCCTTACTACGACCTTTGAGTCCTACTGGTTCAGATTCACCCTCCTCCTCCTTCTTCTTCTGTGTGAACGCCTGCGTCACGTTACAACTCTGATATGGACAAGCATCTAACCGCAACCAGGACAAACCAGAGCGGTTGAAATTCCAGACATTCATCAGATATCAGCTGTCATGTAGTCGTTGTCTCAGAGTGTTATCTCTCATCACCTCCGTGTTTTTACTCGTAGCCAATTACCACCTCTTTTATATCCAGCCAACCCGAGACGAGGCTCGAACATCACAGCGAAACGGCAAATTGAAGTCTGCGTGTTTTGCTGAAAGCTGGCTTAATTGATGGAAGACGATGTGTTGTCATGGTGACAGCACAATAAAGTAAAAGTAATGGAACTTCAGCGGGAAGAGGGAGATTTTCGTCGGTCATTTGCTGCACTTTTTCAAACAGATACACCCCTCCTTGTATCAAAACAAGTACTTTTCTTCTTTCAGGTGTAATTTCTGGCTGTTAAACCTAAATAATGGTACAACATTAGCGTTGCATCTCAAGGCTTTAAACTCCTCCGTCTCTCTTCTTTTCTACTTGCGTCTTTCTTTTATGTCTGAGTTGCAGCTTTCTTCTGCACTTAAGTAGATTACCTGATGGACAAAATAGGTTTTCTAACATCTTAATGTGGCTAACCCAGGTTTTTCTTGAAGTTGTGATTGTATAAGCAAGATTACTCTCTTCTTTTTTCTCTTTATTTTGGCGCGTAATAACCCTCTTGATTTAATGGGGAACATTATGTCGAGACAGAGCATAATGGCTCGGTGTAATCCACTTTTTACTGAATATTACGAAATGTGTTCTCCCAGCTTTTCTCTCTGTCTGTCCCCTCCAGCTAATGTTCTGTTGTGTCTAATCAATGGCGAGGCCATAGTAATTTGGTTTGATTGAAATCCCTCTAGGATAAAAACATCATTAGCGTGAAAAGAGGAATACATGGAGGAATAAAACAGATCAGAAACAAAAGTGTTTTTAATTTTCCATCCCACGGGGGAAAAGGCCATATGTAGCCACGCTGATGATAATTGGTGGTTTGTTGATAATTGCATCATGTCTCTTTCTCTGCATATGTTAAAGCACAATTTGCATGCATCACACATTACTTTTAGATGGATGAATTAATAATGTAGTAATGGTTCATTTCCTTCTGTCTGGCACACACTATCTCTCTCGCTCTTTCACACTGGTGCTCCTCTCTTTTTTTCACACTTTCCTATTTTCTCTGTCTGCGTCTGTCTCTACAGATGAATTTAACCCTGAAGTTCCCAAACTGGAGAAAAGCGTCAGTGGCAGCAGCCCATCACGTGACCGCCTTCTTCTCACCGTGGCCATGCTGCTCGTGTCGGCCATGCTTTTGTCCTAGCAAACTGTCACCGGCAGTGACACTTCATGCACAGCTGGACCGCCTTGTCTAAAGGGCTTTGTATCCACCAAGTTGAAACACGGATGAGGATCGAGCCGAGGTGAAACAGAACCCAAACCGAGATAACACCGAAAACAAAACATCCTTGAACTTTACCTGGACTTTGAAAAAGGAGAGGCCTTTTTGCTGTCATGTTCACACCAGTGTTTTGTGACACCCCACGTGTTCTTGGACCACAAACATAAGAGAACTCCAGCATTTCCTGCAGGTGTGTCCGCCACAACATGACGGCCGAACCCCAATTCAGAATCAGACTTCAGTGCTGCTATCATGCCTGTGGACTTGTAATGAGATGGATGTAGACTAAGCTTCTTCTTCTTGTAGCATGGATATCAAACCACCTGAGAAAATGTAAAGAAGGCAGCGACATGGATTTAACAGTGATTTTTAAGGCCTTGGACCTGATCACCGATGGATAAAACATAAATGTAGTAAAGAGCGAGTTAGACAGTGCGACTGAGCTGATCTTACCTGGAATAAACAGGATATTTATGTAATCAGTCAGTTCTGAGAACTGCTGCTGTTTCCCTGGACATTGAGGAATGTTTTCACGCTGGTGTGAGCGAGCTGCTGGTAATAAGAGCCTGAGGTGTTTCTTAAGAAAAGAAGAGACTTCTTTTTTTTTTCTTTTTTTTTTTTTTGAGGATATCCACGGGCCTTTCAAGAATCCATTTTCTCCAGACATCAAAAAAATACCCTCGGCTTTGTGATCGGTACAGCTGCAAAGCCTGCATTTCTTAAAAGATAGCAAGTGCCCTCTTAGAGCTAGTCCTTTGTCTGCATTTCCTGCCTTCACACTTTAACAACCCAAGAAAAATACAGACCCTGGACTAGTAATTTGACGGCACTTAGACATGGTAGATGTGTGTTTTTTTTTTTGTTTCAATGCATTTACCTTCAGCTCTCCTCGTAAGTTTCCGAGGATGTCAAACCTTTCTCCTCGCAGCAGTCTTTCTCAACAAACCACTCATTTGCAATTTTTGAAGAAAAAAGAGAAAAAAAACTCACAGCAGCAAGTTCCCTTTTAATCCCAGACAACCACGTCAAGCCCTTTTCCCACTTCAGAGGTGCCCAGCCAATCAGCGCTGATGCCCATTACTGCAGTCACCATCACCATGGAAACGACCCCATACAGTCGCCAGAGTGCGGCAGGTGCCTGAGGAGAACTTGTGCTTTGAGACTCAAAGAAACGCTGCCGCCATTTTGTTAAAAAAATACAAGAAAAACAGAAAGAAGAAAAAAAAAACAACAACAACAAACACGTGTGAATGTGCAAATAAAGACAAGTTCACTTTTTTATATTGTTATAAAGGACAACGTAGGCTGGCATTAATCAACATTACAACGTTGTGCTTTTTTTAATTTATTTACTTTTCAAATGTATTTATTTTAACATTAAAGTATATTATTTATCTACCTAATTTATTAGTGTGCATTTGTAGGCCTTTGCTCTATAAGCTATGTGCCAATTTTTTTATTGTTTTTTTTAAACAGTGGAATTTTTACTGCAGCCTTTTGCTTGTGTAGATAAAAAAAAAAAAGGCCGACGTGATTCAGTCCGACAATAAGAGGAGAGGGTTATCAGTTCTGACTAATCAGTAGGGATGTACACTCAGTAACCCTACTCTCATGTAACAGATACTGCTAACAAGATTATGTTGCTGAGGAGCATGATACAAACCTACTGTGATGCACAGGCGGAGATGTTCGATGGAAGTGCAGCATTCCTCCAGTGCTGCACTTGCAAAACAAAGGAGTGTGCATTGTAATGTATATTTATAATACATGCCGGTTATGGAATGTGTGTGCGTGTGCACAAATGGTATGAGTGTGTGGCTTTATCTGCCTGCTTTTTGCGTGTGTGTGTGAGAGAGAGAGAGGAGGAGAGAGTGTGTGAAAGGGTGCGAGAGGAAAAATAAAAACATATGTGTGCACTTCTGCGTGCGTATGTATGTAGAATGTGTTTGTCCGCGCTTTTTCAAGTATGTGGCATTTAGAGATTTCGTACTTGTTAAGGAGTCGTTTGTAGGATCTGAATATGCAAGTGTGTCTGAGAGAATGTGCTCTTCTGTAATGTTAGTTTACGTTACGGGGTTTAGGGGCGCCGGGCGGAAAGCATTTACCGATGTTCAAGACAACCACAAGAAAAGTGTTTACCTTTGATGAGAATGATGAGAAAAAAAACTGTAAATTGATTCAAGAATGATTAAAACATGCCGATTAAAATCTTTTTGCAAATTTACTCTGGTGCGTTTGATGATAAACTGTGTGTGTGTGTTTGCACAGAAGTGTGCAGTCTCTCTCTCTCTGTGTGCCCTTTTCTTTATCTGACTCCTTCACCTCCACTCACCCTGCACTCATTCCTGTTTGTTTTCCTTGAGCACTACTCGAGCACTCTCCCTCTCCCTCTCACACTCCACTTTTAGACGTGTTGGTTGTGAGCAGGCCTGCGCTCAGACAGCTCTCCTGCCGCCTGTACTCACAGTGTAAAACCCTTTCTCACATGGCCCATCCTTTGAGCGCCTCGCTTCCATTTCACAAACACTTCTACTGCCATAAAACATAATGACAGCGTGGGGGGAAAGTCACGGCTCCACATCTCCCACTCAATCCATCTCTCTTCTTTTAAAAGAAGAAAAACACCTGCAAGCCATTCATGTCTCCACAAATCTGTCTCTCGCCATCACTCCACGTCTCTCCGCTACTCCTATTCCCCTGTCAGATTGTTTTAAATGTTTGTGTACGGGACAGAGAAAGGGAGGAGCGCAGGTCTCGCTGCACTAATAATCATGTCAGAAAGGATGGAGAGTTTCCCTTTGATTCTGTCTGAGATTTCATAAAAGAAAGATGTCGAGCAGATTTTCTCACTTTCAAATGTGGGTCAGAAACTCTGCAAGTGTAAACAAAGCGCCGGTGCCAAGAACATTTCAAACTTGATTTAGTAAAGTTTATTTGATTGATGATCGACTTGACAAAGTGTGAGTCAGACCTAACTGATCAGTCTATTAGTGTCTGTTTGAGTGAGCAGCCTCTGATTCGCTCTGACACCTCTGCAGTCAGCTGACAGACTGATAATTGTTGACTATTACAGTAGGTCTTAGCTTACAGTCCTTTAGCTACTTATAGGTTTGGACTTGCATGTTTCTGGTTTATAGTGTGTTGACACCAGGAAGCAGGAGAGGGTTTTAGCTGCTGCTCCAGGGCCTGAGTTGACAACTTAAAACTGTCGTTTTGCAGGAAAATCAGGCTGCTGCTTGGCTTCTGGCGGCGAGGCTGTCTCCGGTTATGTAAGAGAATTAGCAGCCATATTTACACCCCAAATTCATGTCTGGGAGAGCTTATGTTTAGCCCGCGCCCAAATGAAACCTCTAATTGATCTGCTTACTATTCAAATGAGAGGATCAGGAGTGTTGCAGTGGATTAAAAGAAAACCCACCTTTTCCCCTAAGCAGCTGACACAGAGCTTCTCATGGAAAAAGACATAGAACAAATGCTCTGCCCGGACCCTAACTGAGGAAGACATCCCATTAGCAAAAGGAGATGACCTCGTCCACGTTTGCAGGCGTATTATCGTTTTCTGAATCATTTACTGTGAGATCGACCATCTGCATCTGAGGCAGGCCCGTGCCGTGGAGGAGAATTCCCCTGACAAGCTGCACCGTCTGGCCCAAACAATGAACCAGATGCCTCCTCCTTGGAGGACTTGTTATAGACCAGGCCATCAATAAGGCAATCAGTGACACTGCAGTGCTGCATTCAAGTGCTCTTTGGAAACTCTGGTTTCGAGTCTCGGGGTCGTAAAAATGATTTGTGATCCATTTGAAGGCCTTCTAGACAGAAAATGACACCAATGAGGGATTTGAGCGTTTTATTTTTGGACAAGAGAGGAAGTTTGGAGGATACGCACTTTAATCCACTCACATGTGAGAGGGCGCCCACACTGTTAATAAAGAGGGTGGGAATCGCACACCAGCTTTATGATTAATGACTAACAACGGTCCTGCTGTCAAGGTACTGCATCATGCATGTAGACATAATGAATGGCCTCATGTATGCTTGAAAAAGGTGAGCATAAAAACATGTATTAACTCCAGCTGTTTGCTTCAGCTCTTCTGTTTGGGAAGCGTTTTGTTACACTCAAACAGGTTTATATCTTATTCTTATTTTAGAGGCGGCAGTGAATGTCTAACCAGTTGCTAGGAAGCAGGTATTAAGAGAAAATCCTACATTAATTCAGTGTAATCCCCCACATCACCCATAGGTGTCGCCAAAGCTTTCTCTCTTCCTCTCATCCTCTCTGGGAGTCGACAGAAACCGCCGGTCATCTGAACAACATTATGTAACAGATTCACTGAAATTTCCCCCCAAAAATCTAATGCATGAAAACAACACAGAGCGCTGACATGGTTTATGTGTTATGCAGCCTGTGGAAGATTCTTCTATCTTTAGACTTTTAATCTGCTCTGACATTTTTAAGCTGCTGCAGTTCAGCAGGGGGAGAATTTTAATATCAGCCCAAACTCATTCAGGATGTTGAGATGTTTGTCTGAACGCTTGATCACCACCACTGAGGCCAACAAACACATTTAATAAAGGGAGAATCAGTGACGTTAGTTCATAACAAAACTATCTCATTCTGGCTTCTCCTCAAAATCAATACATTTCAGATTTGGAAATAACATTGTACAATATTATGTAACTTTCAGAGGATAAGCTGGTCTACTGTACAAACAGTTTGTCTTGACCTTTGCGGATTATTTTAGGAGCGTCACTGCAGATTAAAATAGAAACACACTTGTTTTCCAGGAAAAAAACAAAGTGTGTTTTTATGTCAGCTATTTTGGTTTTTCATTGAAATGTAAGTTTAGTGTATTCCTAATGTGTAAATGGACGCAGGTTTGCTGATGTCTTTTCGCTCACATAACAAAGGGGTCAGACAGATAATCCCCTGATCTGTACTAAACTTAAAAAGTGCGCTGAAAGCATGAGTTGGAAACTAGTTCTGAATATTTGTTGTCATCTTTAAGAACTGCAACATACTGTAAATAAAAAGGTGTCAATATCAGGGATGTTCAGATGTGATTAATTTTCAAATCAATTACACAAAAATTTGAATTCTGATAAACTGACTCAGAATTTAGCACAACTTGGTTCACAAAGCCAAACACAAGATCACGTTTGTTTGCCAAAAGTAGTCAAAGTAAAGTTAGTGCGGGGTAATATTTGCATAATATTCACTCATTACACACTGACTAGTTATGTGTCAGTTTAACCAGGAACCAACTTCAAAGTATGACAATGTAAATGACAATAGAGTGGGTTAAGAGCATTGCACAACAATACAGATGCATCATTCTTAGTGGTAACAGTGAACAGATATACATGTTTTTGTTGAATTTAAGAGGGGTTAAGAAATCATATTCAAGTTTTTCACAATCCGGTTTCATTTATTCTGAACATAAACTTCTGTTTTTCCCGAGTCAAGCCCTGCTTTAAGTTGATATTTATATGTGAGTGAGAGTTTTTTCTATTTCAGTAAGGATAAAACAGCACTTCTAAAATACCATCACTCTTCTCCAATGAAGGATTCATCCCTTTTCTTCAGTCAAAGTGTAAAATATATCCATAAACTAAATGTAGCGCAGATGAATAAAAGCGTTTCCCTTTGTTGTGCTTTTTTTTTTAGTGCTGCATTTTGTGGAAATGATTGAGGGTTAAGAAATGAATGAAGTTAGTTGAGCCTTGCTGAACAAAAACACTTGAATCAAGGAGAAACTGCAAGTCTTGCTCTTTCCAGATTCCCTTTGCTGGCACCTCTACAGCTCACAAATCCACTTTATCTGTTTTGTTTTTGAAATCTATAAAGAAATGTTGCTATAATCAAGAGAGTCGTCATATTCTGTCAAACATGGTTGCCCAGCTAATCCCTGATAACACCACAGCGCTGACGGTTCAGACTTGTTAGAAAAATAATGCATTTTAGAGGTGCTAACAGGCAGATTATTGTAGATTATTGTGTCTTTAGTAGGCATAAAGCTAGACTAGCCTCCTGTTTCAAGTAATCGAGGATGTTCGGACACACTCACAACACAGTAAAACAAAACCATACTGACTCTTAAATATTGAATTTAAGCTCATTTTATTGATTTAAAAACGATTTATTTATCTAGCTAAAAACTGAATAACCTTAGATTCAACAGCTGGTAGCCTGATCATCTTACTCAGGGGCGAACTTTACATTTTCATTGGTCCATTTAAATATTAAAGGGATATTCTGGGATGATCATAAATGTTCTTCCTTGAGCTGCGTCACCCCACTGTAGTCCTTAATGGACTGGCCCGAGGTCTCACTACAAACAAGCGGCTGCTGGAAGAGAGTGGGTGAGTTGTGTTTAGTCTCTTTGCTAAAGAAATCAGGCAAAGTTAAAAAGATGTTTGTTGGCTAGTACTATGGCTGGGACCCTATATGTACTGTTGATGAAGTTAGGTGCTGTTCTGAGCATTATTTGTGGCTATAGAGTGGCGTTTTGGTTGAGGTTTGTTTATGGCTCCTCAGACCGCTGTGTATTGCTATCGTGCGGTCGTTACTAAAGTTGGTATAACTAGAGAAGCAAGCGGTCGGCAACATTCATCAACATTCAACATGTGTTTGACCCTAAATTAATTTTACGCCAGTATATCCCTTTAACATCCTGAAAAACTTCACATTTTTATTCTTAGTTAAGTCAAACATTTGTTCATTTTTTGTCTGCATTCTTGACAAATGCAGAAATATCAGCAGCACCAGTCCAACTTTTTCTTCTCCAAAACTTCTCTGTTGGTATTTTCGTCTCTTAACAGCACCGCCAAAGCCCATAGCATGATGCAGTTGCATTACAGTGAAAGAAGTTACCCCTCTGTGTCTTTGAGGACGTCGTGTAGGATAGTGACAGTCTGCACCTGTTCTTCTAGTCGCAGGTGTTTTATTTTTTGGATGCGTGTGCTCCGCTCTAAAAGTAGGCAGGGTCTCGTGGGACCTCTTCAAATCTTCCCAACATTTTTGATTGGACTTGACAGTCCTGCACTGTGAGTCAACTCTTCTCCTCTCCCGACAGAAACTGACCTAAGTAGAGGTTCTGAGCTGAAATAAGGTGAGGAGACACTGGATGATCTAAAATGACATCATTTACTCCCTGTGGGAAACGAGAAGCCCATGTGGGGGTATCATAGTGACGTAAGCTGACCATTAAGGCAGGTAACTAT